GAGCCACTTAAATCAAAACATTTTGCAGTGCAACTTAACTACTTTTTATCACTGGGGAAAAAAAATAGCAAGAAAGGAACTCTTGGAGTTAGTGCTTTTGTAATTGTGTCAACAGTTTTATCTGTACGATCTGCAATGAATCATCTGATGTCAGTGTTACAGTATCTGTCCTTGCATTAATTTGAGCACTTTCTTTTTTTAAAAAAGTTATCCTTTTTTCTGTTTACAGAGGAACATCAGTGAGGACAAAAAATAAGAGTTCATAAATTGAATTTTACTGGCAAAATGATCAGTTCAATAAAAACTTAGGTTACACATACACAAAATGTTCTTATGCACATGGAGACCTCAACTTCTTTCAAGGTACTGGAAAAAGTAACTGGCTGATCCAAGAGTGCAGCCCTTTGCAATCTGCACGGGCATATCCCACACCAACCCCTGCCACACTCGACATATTTCCAGCAACACAGACTCTTGTGAGGCCACATCATCCTTGGCTGAACTTATTTCCAGACATGTAACACAGAAACCAATGCTTCTGAACAGAAACTCTATCAATCTCATTTTTGGATGAGATGAGAGAAAGCAGATGAAGCTTTTCCTGGATATTTCTACAAAGGACTAAGCATTCCCTTAATAAGCAATCCAGCAATCCCTTATCTTTGTTTCCTCTTTTTAACAACATTCTTTCCAGGTGCTTATCTGCCCCAGGTGCATTTAAATTTTCTTGCAGCCTCCCAGGGTTTAGAAGTCAAAGCAAAAAAACACAGTCATGTGGGCACGCCTGAAATCTAACTATATCTAATCTATCTATTCATGGTAAATAATTTGGTTACATTTAAAATGGATACACAAAGGCTAGTACAAACCTTCATGCTGACAAGAACAGAAATAACACTTATTCTGAGAAATACATATATGGAATACTTAAAGAGCTCTAAATATTACATCTATAAACAAGATACCTTTTTTCCCCACTTGATAAGACACTTAATAAGATTCTCCATATTGCTGAACTCATGAAGATATACCAAAATAAAGCAATATCTCTAAATTTAATTTGCATAAGACTTGGCTATATCACTAACAAGTTGGGTAAGAATGCTAGTCTTACAGAATTCCCACACAGATGTGGGAATTTACATGAGATGTTGGGAAGAGGAAAATTAGATACAGCTGAGCAAAGTGGCATAGGCTCACCCTTTCAGCAAAGCCAATCCACTGCATTGTTGAGCTGTAATGACCACAGAGGTCACATCTGGCTGAGGGATCTGCTCACCCCTAGCACACAGCAGTGTCTGCATTGTCTATGTAGGACACAACACACCTGTGTAGGGGCCTCACAGATTTCTTGTTTGTGTTAACAGGCACACTTTTTCCTTCAGGGAATGAGTGGCTTTAAGTCACCACTAAGTACTTTTCTTCTTTAAATCACTCTATTTCAGTTCACATCACAAACTAAATTCTAGTTAGCTGAGGGGGTCAATTACTTCCATTTCTAATGGAATCACAGCTCCAACTCATTATCCAATGCACTTATTTCAAAGAATTTTGAAAAGAATCCTTTACACATTTCCTTTAAAAGGCTTTTCATAACCATCAATTCAGAAGAAGTGTATTTCCTGAGGAGACAGCCATGCAGTCTAAAAAAAGACAGGTAAACCTAGAGCCACAGCCTAAGACCAGCTTAGCTGGCTTCAGCCACATACACCAACAGAACTATGTCACCTAGTACACTGCAGACTTTTCTATTATTACTTTGCATATTTACACTTGTGGTATTGAACTTCAGCACTCTGGATAAAGAAATGGGCCAATTCATCAGCTAAAAATCTCATCTGCTCACTCAGTGCATACAGAAGCAATGAGGAAGTGTCCCTTAGTCCTGGGAAAATAAGTGACTCAGGACAACTTCTGACAACTAATGTCAAATTACATTAGTGCAAAGGTGAAAGAAATTGATTAAAATACTTAGCTAGGAAGGGGAAACTAGCATCCTTTCTTTGATAATTCCCTTGAAATAGAAATAAAAGGAAAAAAATCTCTAAAAATTGTGCTTAAGCTTTGTCCTCAAGCAGAAAGACAATCTGACTTGACCGAGCATGACAGTTTCATATTAAATCAGTCTGCCTGCCCAAACTGAAATGCACGCATTAATGTAACAACCAAGATGAGAGAGCAGCTAGGTAGATTAAATGCATTTTAAAGTGCCACATTCTTTGCAAAAGCAGCAACATTTTTTACTATGCTTAAAGTGGATAATTCTATGTTGTAACTTTGGTAAAAAACCCCTCTGCTTACCTATGTGACCGTGAGATATGTCCAGAGATGACATCTTTGTATTACTGACGAACCTTAAACTGTAACTTCAACAAGATCATTAAGAATGTTCATCAGATACAAAAGTCACAGGGATACAGTTTGCTGCTGTGCTATGTTCTCAGAATGTGCCCAGTATGGCATGAAGACATCTAATACACACACTTCAGACTTGTATTTGATCACAAACATACCACACGCTGTTGTGTATATGCCTGAAAGCTTCTTCACTGTGGATATCTGTAACACATAGCACTGAATCTCACACCAGAAACAGTCCCTTCACCCCTTTTCAGACAGTTACATAAGAATGTATTGCTAAATCATGATATAACCAATGATTAAAAGTTATTTCATATATAATCCAAAGCTATTTTAAAAAATATCCAATTTGTTAGAAATTCTAACTTAAACACAGATTCTGTGTTCACACAGAGACCTTGAGAAAATGTTTTCCTGTATGCTGTGATCTCATACTTAAAAGATGCAAGACTGAAAAACAAAAAATTGTGATCAAGAGTAAAACTGTGATCTAGACTATTAACCATGCAGCCATCCTCCAGGAAGAGAAGCAACAACTGCAACTAAATTAACCTCTGGCTGCAACAAAGGTTCCCAAAGTGGCTTTAAACAAAATCCTTTCACCTCTATCTGATCTAGGTTGCAAATTCTCCGAGGCAGAAACCAAGGCACACAGCATGCAATGCAAAGAAGGGCTGCAGGGCTGCTCCGGGCCTCAAGGTACATACGGAGGTGTCAAGTGCCCTACGTGCAGTTTGGGTTTCCCTTTAACTGATCAAGACTTGACACCACTGGAAGGAAACGCCAGAGGCAGAGAGAAAGGACATAAAATTCACTGCACTGCAAACCTGAAATATTTTACGTGGGGGTCTTCCAAGTAAACAATAACAAAGAATTACACTTACTTTTGCAACAACCCAAAATATTAAGAACCAAGAAAAAGAAGTATTAAGTACCAAGAATAAATTCAAACACCATCTCTGTCACAGTCCACTAAAGAACTCAAACTTTCTGTTATGCTTAACTGAAAAGTTATGATACAAGCTTAAAAATTAATACTGTAATTGCTGATGAGAGCCCTTCAGCACTATCCTGGTTATTCCTACTGCAACTAAGAATAATACCAGATCATAGAGCCTTTCAGTCAAAGTTCCTGGCATCCTGAGATTATTCAGAAACATTTGAACTTCAGCATATCTGTTTAATAGTCTATTATATAAGAGTCATATACTTTTACAGAGCACCTCACTTTACACCATTCAAGTAGAGGTCTTCCTTGATTTTTTTTTTTAAGGGATGGCAAAACTCTTTACATTCCTGTATGTTCAGGAATTCAAAAGAAATCTAGCAGGGACCAGGAGAGAAGGAACAACTTTGGGCCCTGGCTGCTGCCTAGGATGTATACAAAAAAAGTTGCTAATGTATCCACGAAGTGATAGACATTCCCACACTTAAAAAAAAAAAAAAAAAAAAAAAAAGAGAGAGAAGGCATTTTGTGACTTACAACTAATGACTACCTATACATTCTTAACACACACATAATAACACTACAAATTTTTCTTCAATTTCACAAACATTAAATGCTCAGTATGCAGAATTGTCCCAAAAATGCTTGTGAAGTGCAAAAAACCCCAACCAACCAAAGAAAACCAGAATAGACTCCAAGGAGTTGTCCTTCAGTGATGCTTGTGTGTTCCTTATAACCTGGGATATTCTATAACTCTAAGGACTAAATTTTATAAGGTCTTCTCTGACAGTAGCCTGCATAATTCCACATATCAATACGGCTAACAAATACTTTCTTGTAACAACAGTGGAATTTTGTTTGGGGTGGGGAAAAAAAGGTAACCAGATGACGGGCGGGTACAAAGTGCAGCCACAACACAGGTATAGTTATGACATCATTTTTCTGGATGGGAATGCACAGGTTTATACAGCATACTGCCCTGCTCTATCAAAAATCATTGATGCCTGCTACATGTACTCAGTAACCACTCCAGGAGAAGAAAAACGCAGCTCACACCGATTAAACCAGACGCACATTCAGCAAGCCCCCAAAGAGAAGCACACAAAAAAACTGCGGGCAGCTGGCTCCACTTCAGGCTCCCCACACCAGGGGGACAGACACGGGAGGCAGCGGCGGAGCGCCCGGCCGGAGCGAGAGTTCAGTGCCGGGTTTGAGGGGAAGGCTCTGGGCAGCCAGGCCAGGCACGGCACGGCACGTATCCCGGTGTGCCAGAGCGGCACCGCCGAGCGCCGGGAACACCGGCAATCCCGCCACCCCCGGGCTGCGCTGGGGCAGCGCCGGCCGCCAGCCCAGCCCCGCTCTGCCCAGCCGCACACCGGCAGCCGGGGCAGGTCGGGGCTGATTCCCCTTCGTCCCGCCGACCTGGGCTGCGGGGAACTGCGGAGCGCCGGCAGTGCCGGGCGGACGGCCCCGCTCCGCAGAGACGGTTCCGGGGAGGTTCTCGTGGTCCGCTGCAGGGAGCGAGCCCGGGCCGGCAGCCGGGGCAGGGCCTGCGCCGCCCTCCCCTCCTCCCGCTCTCTCTCCTTCCCTCCCTGCCCGGTGGCCGCCCGGGCTCGCCCCGCACGCCGGCAGGGACACCTCGCGCCCAGCCGAGCCGAGCCGGCGACAGCGACAGCGGCGCCTTCCCGCTTACCTCGAGCGAGGCCCGGCGGGAGCCGGCGCCGGCCGAGGAGGGACGGACGGTGGCTGGATGGAGGGATGGAGCGGGGGAGGGACGGACGGCAGCGGGCAGCCGGGGGAGCCGCGCCCGGGTGGGTGCGAACTGCGCCAAGCGGCGGCCGTTGCTGCAGCGCGTGCACGCCGGCGCGCGCTCCCGCTGGCGGCGGCGGGGGCGCGCCTGGCCCGGGGCGCCACGTGACCTTGGAGCGGCGCCGGGTAGGAGGGGGAAGGAGGCGCGCGTGCGCGCGGCCCCGTCAGGCGCGGCCCCGGCAGCACGTAGCGCGTCCCGGAGCCGCCCGGCGGGATCCCGGCCGGCCCTCGGGAGCGGGGATCAGCAGCCGAGCCCGCTCGGGAGCAGCTGCTTATAGCCGTGGTCGGAGCCGGGGATCAGGATTAGCACCCCGTGACTGCGCGGCGGAAAAGGCGCGCTGTCCTCACGGTGTTAACCCCTTCATTCGTCCGTCACTGCATCCTTCTTCTGAAAGTTAGCGGCCCACCCACAGAAGGAGGAGGGAAAACTTTTTTTTCGTGTACATATACATATCCTTATACATACAGACATATATAAGTCATATATGCGTTCTGCTGTAGTATATCTTTATCTATACCTATATCTATATCTAATCTATATCTATATCTATATTTCTATGTCTATATATTTATATCTCTATCATCTATCTATATCTCATAGTCTCAAGCTGTGCCCGATGGACATTAGAGGGATTTTTTCACAGGAAGGGTGGTTAGACATTGGAATGTCTAACCCAGGGAGGTGGTAGAGTCACCATCCCTGGGGGTGTTTAAGGAAAGACTGGACGGTGGCACTCAGTGCCATCCATGGTTTCGTTGGCACAATGATGTGTGGTAGGTTGTAGTCGATCTTGGAGGTCTTTTCCGACATAATTAATTCAGTGATTCTGTTTTATATATCTATGTCTATATATATATATCTCGTAATGAAAGTGTAGAATTGCAAAATCAGAACATGTCCAGCAGGCTGTGTATGCATTTCAGGACAGCAGCTTCATTTGCCCATTGCTTTGTGATTCACACCACTGCTTGCTGAAGTTGGTTTGGTGCTGTGTTATTATTTACCTGAGTCACGCTATTGCCCAGAGGCCCCAGATGATGCTGTGACATAATATGTACTAAACTCTGGTAAAATTCTCACTTCAAACAACTTGCACCATAAAAAAGGGTTAAGAAAAGGAGAAGCAGCATAATAGGAAATACAATTTTGGTTTCACAAATGTGAATTAAGTGTTTTATCCACGTTCCATCTTTATTTTATTGTACTTCCATTTGTCTACCAACTACTACTTCATCCACCAGTCTGCTGACAAAAATTTTGTTAAAAGTGTGGTTTTGCCCCACTTGGTGTTAGAGCCATTTTAGGTTTTCACATAGGTTTCATGTAGTTGTCACATAATGAGAAATCAGGCTGGTCGGCAGAGCATTCAGGCCAAGTCACAAAAAGGCCTGCTAGCATGCAAAGTGATAGATAGACAAAATTTATTTTGATGGTCCACATATCTCTTAAAAGATGCCTGACAATATTTTTTTACCAGTGCTACAAAGAGATAAGGTCTGTTTATTAATCTGTACCTCCTGGGACAAGCTGCCTAAAAGATTATAGCCAGTGAGTTTGCTTATTTGTAGATAATATATTTAAATCCATTTGAGCATGGAACTAATACAAATCTATCCTTGCATAACGTGCAGGCTGGGTTTTCAAGGAAAGTGGTTCATGGAAGAAGGCACAAACACAGAATTACATGGATAGGGTGACTGTATTATGGATATGTAAAAAGGGAGGTCAGATTTCACACCTGCCCATTTTGATGATGTTATTGCCATGTCAGGAATTCTGAGTCAATCTTGGAACACTTTCCAGGACTCAGGATACACGGAAGCAACAAAGAGTAATGGAGCAATTTGCCACCCTTCAGCGCTACCATTTTTCAGCTGCAGCAGTTTTCTGAGAGGCCTCCTGTCTGAGTATAACATTGCAATAATAATTACCTAGCCACATTAGCATAACATCTGTCACAAACACACAGTCTGCAGATCATTTCCCTGCTTTGCTGAGTTCCTTATTTGGCATCTTAGTCTCACAGTTTGGGAGGGTAACCTCTTCAGCAATTGCTCTAACAGAGTATTTACATTTGTGTTTCTATGATCTTATCTTTGCTGGTCATAACAAGTTATTTTTTTAGTGGATGGGATTCTCCTTTTCAACACCACGCAGCCCTGTTCACAGGGAGATAAGAGGTAGGGGCTAAATCTGTCATATGTCCTCAAATACTGACATTAAGCTAAATCCTATTATGAAAATAAGCCATAAAAATCTTTACTTGAAAAGGGGTAACAAATGGGTAGTTCACACTTTTCTGTTTCAAACCTGGAATAAGTTCTTCTGAGTAAAGAGCATTTATTTGAAAACACAGTGTCTTTCTTCCCTTTAGGAAACATTTACCATTCCAAAATGATCACCTCTGCGCCATCAGGACTACTGAAGCAGGCATCCCTCAGTATTCTCCTTTTGTATTCTTTGCTCTTTTGCACTTGCACATAGAAGATTGCAATCAAGCTGTAGAATGGCTTTCATTTTCCACAGCCATATCTCTAAGTGGGATTGGTTTCTGTTGTGAGTGCTGTAGCCAGGAGCTCTCTACATCGAGGCACCATTTGTGGTCCTTGTTAACCACATCTCACTGCTGGTTAATCCAGGGCCTGCAAGGCTCAGGTAACCTGCTACCTCATTTGTGTTCATTTTGCCCTTTCACCACAAATGTCACTATTGTTTCCCCCATCAGGAGAGGAGAGGGCATGATGAGGGCAGCTGCTTACTGGTGTGGTTGTTTTGGTGGAGGGGAAGCAATTTGAAGTGTGTTACCCAGTGCCATATGTAAATCAGTGGCTCTCTGGCTCCTCAGCTGAGCATCCTGTCTGGCAGCAGCAGTGTGTGAGAGGGGTAGCCTGCACATAAGGCAGAAAAAGAGCTGGCATTAGTAATGAGTTATAGTTTTGTCATTTTGCCTGTTTGTATGCATACAACACTCAGAAGGAAACCACTCTCTGGGGCAGTCATTTCTTCCATACCCACCATCAGCCCTGCTCATACTACAGCAGACAGGATGATATCTCACCCTGTAAACCTATGAGAATCCTTATCTCTGCCTCTTAGTCACAACCAATACATGTCCCTCAGAAGCATTTTCCATAACATCTCAGATCAGAATGACATTATGACAGGATGTTATGATTTAGTTAAGTTTTATTTTTTATTTCCATTTAAGAGACAAAAAACCCAAAAAAAACCCCCAAAACAAAAAAAACTCCAAACAAACAAAAATAAAACCACCCAAAAAACCCAATTAAACAGAAAAAGGGGGTAAGTTAATAGCAAGGATTCAGGGCTGTAAGGAACTGTATCACTGTATCCTGATGCACCAAAATTTTTAAGCACATCAATAGTCCCAAAAGTTGACAGACTTATGTGTAGAGTTAATGTATTTGGTTAAGCCGGCACACTCAAATCAAGTCTCATATAAGCAATATTTCTCCATTCTTTGTCAACCATTAGCAAGTGTTTTACAAACTATTTTCTGATAATAGATAATGATAGGATTTCAGGCCTTCTGTTAAGAGGTTCCTTATCCTTGCCAAAATCACAGCCTAATGAAGCAGGAGGTTTTATTCTGGTCCTTTTAGGATAAGTGATGAAATGGTAAATGGAAATAGCGGTGTAAAATTGGGTGGTAGAAGATTCATAGCTGTGTAAAATTGGACGGTAGAAGATGCAAGATTGATAAAGAAGGAAGGAAAGGTGTTTCATTTGAAAACTTGCAGAAGGAGATTGCAGAAAAGAGCTCTCCCGTAATGAAATGGGAAGTGAGACAGGGGCAAAAGTCAGCAGAAGATTGCACTCAAATCTGGGGCCTTCCTTCTTCTCCATCACCCCTTACTGTCTCTCTCACAATAAGGCTTTATCTTTAGAAGCCCTTGTGAAACTGAGTGTTTTTCTAACGTTTTTCTCTTTACAGCTTTTGTGGCTCTTTTTCCTGGACAATATTTTGCTTCAATTCTTAAAACTTAACATCCCTTTAGCAAGACCAAAACACACAAACAAAGAAAAAACGTGGGGAAAGACTTGCTGCAGGTGTCTGTCCCCTATAAGTGCAGATTAAATGGGATGTCATTTATGTATTTACCTTATAGTAGTTGTTCAAGGGCAAAGAGCAGAAGTGCAGTCTATGCTAGTTTAAGGATGATCTCAGTTTACATCCAGCTGCTCCAAAGATTATGGCTTAATGTATTACCAAATTATGTCTGTCAGTCTCAGAGCACAGACAGATCTTCCTCAATAATTGGCTAACAAATCCAGAAGAATTCAAGGACAGCTGGAATCACAGTGCCTTTACTGCAGGGAAGTCAAAGCCTATTTTTCTCATCCTTTTTCATCTTCAAAAATCATCCTTTGTGGTTTTAGAAGATGACTGGATAACATAGCCTATTGCAACACTTTTCTTTGTTGTTAACTACAGTTATTATTACACAAGAACATAAATTTCTAAAAGAGTTATAAATTTGAATATAAAGAGTAATGTATGCTGAAAGGGAACATGTACGTGAGAAATAAGAAAATAAAGAGAAGTGCACTTCAGATAAACATGGCATCCAGTGCCTGAGTTTAAATGTAGTCAAATGATTCTGTGTGTTTGATAGGAGATCCTGTTGCTACAGAAATAATTTGCATTCTATCATTATGTACTGCACAGAGACTGAAACAATTTTTCATACTTATAATGGAGAACAGAATATAAATAATACATTTAAAATGCAAGAAAAAAATTATTTAACCACAGTAACATAATAAGCTTTAGCATACTCAACAATTTTGTTAACATTCATTTTGAATATTTGTTATATATCTGTGAACCACTACAGCCTAAATAATCAAAATAAAAAAGGGAAGGTAATCTTTTGTATGTTTATCTCATTACTGTGCATAACTACATTATTCTTCTGGATAGCAAATATATTCCTGTAGAATAATACTGATGTGACTCCATTTCCAGCTCTATGAGGAGCCATCCAAACTTAACAAAAAAATCCCCTAACTCTATTGCATTTTAGTTTAAAATTTAAAAGCTATTTCCAGTAGGTTTTAATTGAAATATCAGGAAAACAGTGATTTTTCTTGCAGCAAAAAGCTAAGACCTGATTCTGCTACAATGACACAGAAGAGAAATCTGTTCTTGGCTTCATGGTGAGAAAAATGGGCTTTGTAATCTGAGATTTGGGACATTTTTAGACCATTCTTCTGAGATCTAGCTAGATTTCTATTAAAGCTAATGCAGAGACCCCTGCGGCATTCAGCAGGAATTGGATCAGGCTCTCAGTGGTACAGTCTGTTCTATTTATAACTTGCTCACTGCCGCTGGTGTTCGTGGCAGACAGGCTCCCCACCCCAAGGAGCTGGGAGAGCTGATGGATCTTTGCAGATGGAAGGCAACTTGAAATAATTGCCAGTGCAAAATGTGTGTGTGGAATTGTGTGAAACAACCTGCAGCTTTGTGCTGCTTTTGAAGGGCCGCTCTGTAGCTCTGACAGAGTGCTGGAATTGCACATCTCTAGATGTTTATCATTTTCTGTAATAATTACATGAGAAGTTACATGCATTGGGGTGTCCTGCCATGGAGATGCTCCTTACTGCATTTCTCTGAAGGACCTACGTCCTTCACTGCAGGGCTAAAATACATAGATTTAGAAAAAGATGTGATGGACAATTGAGTCAAGCTCAATGTCAAACACTAATTAAGTGTAGTTGGATGATTTTAGTTGTAGTTCAGTCTGCTTTTAAGTTTCTCCCAACACCATTTTGTGTAGATGTCATCAATTTGATTTCTACAATTTTTTCTCTGTTGCATCCTACATCCTTCTGTCACTCACTATGGACCATCCATGTTATTTAAACCCTTTACATTATTTACAGGAACATTATTTCTCTACTTGCCTACATATAAGTGTTCTATCCAGTATTTCATTCAGACGGAAAATTTGTGTTGGTTTTAAAAAGAGTTGAATAGAATCCTATTGGAATTCTACTAGAAGGAAATTAATTTCTTCTCATGTGGGATATCAGTGTCTTGACTTCTGTGCATTTACTTGCTATTGAGACTCTTTGCTTCCTTATGCTAACAGCGCTGTGAGGATGGCTTAGAAACTGGTATTTCTTGTGTTTTCAGTATTTCTACATTAGTAGTAGGTCCAGCACGTAGAAATACCAGTGGAATTCAGTGACCTTTCATCAATAATCCCTCTGGAAAAAGACAATATAATATGATTGAGTCTTCTTAGAGTTGAAGGCATTATGAATATCTTCCTAGTAATTAAAATATTTTATTTTAATTTCTTAGGTTTTGTAACTTCTGGTCACTTTAAAGTTGAACTTGTCTTGCATAGCAACAAAATAAATTCTGGCCTTTATTTTTGTTGGTTTGTTTTTCAGCTTGAACTCTGCTTCTTTCGTGGTATCTAAGCATTTGCAAATGAGTCATATTTTCCTATATCTTCAGTACATAAACATGTGAATGAACACAGTAATGAACGTGGATGAGCACAGCAATGATTTAATGCAGAGACTCTTGCCTTGCATTTATTCCTCGCTTACATGACCATGAAGCTACATTCTCTTATAAGAAACCAGTGGATTTGATGATAGTGAGTGAATGAAGGGATAGTCTTGGGCTGAGCCACTGAGGAAGAAGAGCAGTGGGTTTATCAGAAATCTGAATGCTGTGGCAAAAATTGTGGAGGAAAATTAGCATTTGGGGGGCAGCTGATACTTCATGGGTTAATGATTTATCCACAGTAACTCATGAAGGCATTAATGGAGAGGACTGGACAGCAATCATGTGAGTCTTGGTGATAAGAAATGGCCAGATGTTGTCCTGGTCCACCTGATGAAAAAGATTTGCAGGAAAGAAACTTGGATCAAAAGAAAATTCCTTATGCCCCCCTGCATCCATAGGAGATGGTTCTGTTTCTGGAGTTCTTCCACTGTGTCCAGCCTGGTCATGGGGAAAAGCAGAGCCCACATGGCATGAAGGGGACTGTATATATCATTTCCTTGAAAAAGTAAGCAGCATCTGCCTCAAGCTGTGATGGCCTATAAATATTGATTAACACATCTGTGTAACTGATACCAATATTCCTTTACACTGCAGTAAATGTGTCAGTTCTAGACAGGATTTGCTGTAATGAACTCTGCTTATAATGGACATTTTTTAGTAATTAAATTCACATTGACAGTACATGTATCATTATTCACATACTTAGAAATTCCTGCAGTGCAGTGCAGTTATGTGGTACTGAAACATAAGTGCCCATCTACTATGCATTTAAATTTAGAGTTAGGAAATATTACAAATGTTACACAAAAAACCCTATTAACAAACTTCTGTGGTTAAATATTATGGTTAAGATACCACTCACGAAATCTCAAGTTGAACTTATCCTGTTGGTGATAGGATCGGATTCTTCAATGAAGTTCAGTGGGGTTTAGCCAAGGCTGCTTTTTCTGGTGCTTTTTCTGGTGCTTTTTCTGGTGTTTTCTTTCCCTGCCTATCCAAACTTTCTGTGGGTTGAGGAGCCTTTTCTGCTACTCCTGCCTTTCCAGCAGTCTTCTTTGCTGCTTTTTGGTTGCTTTTTGTATCCTTTCCTGTTTCCACAGCGGGCACTTCATTTGGATCAGGTGTCTCTTCTGTAGCAGTAATTTCTTCTGTGTGTGGCTTAATAAAATCTGATTTAGGAGAAGTAATAAAATTTCTGAGTGATCCTAAGTAACAATATTTACTGTGCTCAGCAACATTTCTTTCACATTGGTTACGACCTTATCATGTTCTTTTCCTCTTTCCCTACCCATATAAAGAGGTTCAGTATCACACACAATATTACTACTTATTATGGAACCAAAACCAGGCCCAAGTCTTTATGTCTCTAATTAGAACTATTTAGAGGTAGATACTGGAAAACATTTCCAGGTACAGAAATAATTGTTTCCTGCTTAAGTCACCTAATTTACAGGACTGCTCAGAAAAGCCTACCATACCAGTAAGGCAAGAGAGGAAGGAAATGCTGTAAAATATTTGTTCTTTCCTTGGGAACAAAAAAGTGAGGGGAAATAAAAGTATAAAAATGTTCTGTCAGAAATTATATAACATGTATACATCCTGTATACAAAGAAAAAATACTTAGGCAAAAATATGTAAAACAAATGTTCTGATATTGTCAGAACTGAAGACTGATTTGGAGCTAAAATGGTGTATATGGGAGAGATGAAATTGTGAAGAATAAATCCCTGTCCAAATAGCAATTCTACAGGTAGATTCTAAAAGAACAGTAAAATACTATACAAATAATACATGAGAATGCTGAATCACCAGAGAGTTTTTAATTTTCTACCCTTCCAATAAATAAGACAAAAATCGGTCACTTATAACTCCAACTTTACCATTCAATATGGACAAAAAATGGGGAGAGAATAATTGACTAATCCCAAGTAGTGGCTAAACAGTCAGGGTTTTCTAAAAGACTTAGGCATTTAGGGTCCCTGAATCAGCAAGGCCTTATTTTTGGTGAAATATTAAACATCTAGCTGCTGAATTGAGTCTCACTTTGGAAAATAACACCATCTGTGTATGTATACATGCTTACAAAGTCTTTCCTCTGCATCCAGAAATTTAGAAGTATTCATTATGACTTTTAAATCTTCCATCAGCCAGGTTAGTCAAGGTGACAACTTGCAGTGGAAGTAGAAAAGGTGGTTTGAAAATATTGATTTAAATCTCTTTCACTTAGGCCTAACCTGGTAATTCATACTTTGCATCTGTTGTTGATTAAGAGCATCTGTACTGTAAACTTGATTGATTGTGACCTATGAAATATTGATTGGCATAGACAATTAACTCTGTAACAATTTAACAATTTTTTCATTAAAACAGAAGACTCCAACAGTGAAGGCACTCTTACCTTTCTTTCCCCCTTCCTTCTGTTTGCTTGCTGACATTGCTTTTTTCTTTTTAGATACAGTTTTATTATTTTGATTGTGTCCTTGGGCTGTGTCAGTCTGTCCTGACACAGGCATCACAATCACCTGAAGCAAAGCAAGAACAAAACGTGCACGAGCGAGACATGTGGATGCATCACAGATTCAGCCTGAAATCCCCATAACTGAATCCCTGGAAGTGATCCCTTTTGAAGCAACTAATTACTCTAACTTTCAGGGACACATACATCTGCCAAAGAAAAGTAGAATCCAGCCTGTTACCTGACCCATTTGTATTCCCTGGCTGTTCTGACAAAAGGAGGGAGGCAGGAAAACAGAATTTTGAAAATAAAGTAGTAGAAATAAACTCTTGTCAAAATGCAATTGTTATTAAAAATATTTCTGAGTAATAAACATCAGTTATTGCAAAGAGCAGGTAATATTCTTGTTTGCACTCTGGAGGATGGAAGAACTGTGACTCTGTTGTTTGTATGTTGTATGTCATGGGACAAAGATGGAGTGACCTGCATATCATCCTTGAATTGGCTTCATGTCCTACTAAGCAAAATTGTAACATTATTTTGCATTAGCCCTTCAAACTCAGGAAGCTTACTCTATCTCAAATTACAGATCTTATTGTGATTATATCTTGAAATTTAAAAATTAGTCCTTGTTGCTGTTTTGCTGGTTTACTCAGCTGCTGTGACTAGATAATCTGAATTTTTTTTGGTAACAGATATTGATTTTTCTATCTTACAAAATACTTACATCTCACCCTTAAATCACAATTCATGCCCAGGTGCATTGAAAAGCATTGGACTACTCCTGTGAGAGGATTTGCAAAAATACCTTGTTGACTTAAGGTGTGAAGCAGTGAAGGTCTGGACAGAGAGGTGTGAAGAGATGCCATTGTGGTTTTGTTGCAAACAGCGAAGTGAAGATTAACAGGGATCTAAAGGGAAGCTGGAGGTAATTACAGTGGTGCAAGCATTAAGACACTATCATACTGTGCACAACTACATGAGCTGTGGCTAATAAAACAAGACACAGTGAAACAAGCTTGTGATTGAAGGAAAGAAGTGAAATCAGTTTATTTGTGAACATAGAGCAGAGTTCATACACTTTTACAGACACACACACACGTATTATTATCCTGGCCTCCTAAGCCTTATTTTCATTTATGTTACAGTACTGTTACCCTGTTTGGGCAGATTAAACAATATTTAGGGCTGTAAATGACACCCATATTAAGGCCTCACTAAATTAACACAGCAATACAAAGGGGCCTTAACACAGACAAAAGCCAGCACTCATTTCTCTGTGATCTAACACGTTCCATTTATGCTGCTTTACCAAAGCTGGAACAAATCCTAACTCTGCTGCTCAAGTTCGCTCCGATCTTTTTGATCTTTCCATCTACCTCATTAGTTGCTTCCACTGAAACAATTCTTGACCCTTTCCTTCCAGATGCTCCAGGAAAAGGATGAAATGGCGAGCATGTGTTTACAGACAGCATGCACTTGGCCTTGCTTAAAATGCTACAATTAGTTTCTGTGAAGTTAGCATTAAGAAAACATTCAGGAAAGGCCCTGATTTCCCTGGCATAAGTAAGTGTATTAGAAGCAAATGTGAAGTGAATGGAAAAATCCAAGGCTGCCTGCTAAAGCAGAAAGCCATTTACACACATGGATTATATCAGCCTAACATCCAAAATCTCCTCTGTACTTCTCTCTTCTAGACTTAAATTCACGCTTTCATTTTGTCCTACTGCTTTTTCTCTTGCTCAGACTCTCTCTCCTCCTCAGGGATGTACACACTTACAGTGACGTCGCTCGTCTCTGTGCCGTACTTGTTCTTCACCACAATGCTGTATTTCCCAGAGTCTTGTGTGGACACAGTAGAAATGGAAAAGCTGACATTTTTTCCAGATTCAAACCTCAGGATGCAATTGGCATCTGATACAAATGACTTTTCATTCTTCAGCCATGAGACCTCTGGGGTGGGGTCTCCCCAGACAGTGCAAGAAAGATTGAGTGCCTACAGAAAAAGTACAAAGGAATTGAGTCAGTAAATATTTGCTGTGTTTTTTGATGCCCGACTCTCCAAATATTCCAGCTTCCCATTTAGCTTCCTGCTTTTAGTAAAGGGATTCACACTATCATCAGTAATCAATAATTTATGTCACTCTTCTCTATCATAAAGAAGGAACTCAGTTAATTCAAGAATGCCATTAAAACCTTTCAATATTTTATGGACCTTCTTCTCGACTCTCATAATCATTAGTAAGGGTTCCTCCATGCATATTTTTTAATATAAAATTGGATATTATCTGCATTTGTGTGTTAGACATGAAATGAGATTTTAATGAACTGTCAGATGATTTGTTCACATTAAACTCACCACATATATATATATATCTCCCATAGGTAAAGAAAGTGTGGCTGCCTTTATAGATAACTAAGAACAAAGTGGGTCTGGAATATTTTGTTTAATTTGGGATCCTTTTAAACTGTGCCCTGACAGCTCTTCTAACAGACTTGAAGTGTTTTATGCACTTCTGTTAAACTATTTTTAACTGAAATCAAGACAGGCTTTACTCATTCTTTAGTGTTCATGTAAGTATTTCCCTTGGATGTTAATATTGTTCCTAAGGACTGAATTCAGTCCCATCAGCCTGTAGGAAGTATCTTCACTGTTGGAGAATCATCTTGTTGGAGAGGTCACTGGCAGCTTCTTGTACCTTCAGCAGGCTGCTGAGTCTCTTGGGCACACTCTGTACAGGCCTCCCTTTTTTCTTGTCAGCTAATTCAATTTTGGGAGATATTGATACATGTAAATGAGCCCCTCCTCCAGTCACAGTGCTATGGCAGTCTTCTCAAAAATATTTGCAAAAGTGAGTATAATGTAGAGACTCAAATGTGAAAAAAGTTCACGTGGCAATTCAATGGTACATAGGCCTTTCTCTGGAGCTTTATTTAGGAAGGAATTTATTTCTATATATGCCATTTAAAAGGGAATCTAACTGGACTGGAAATTGAAGAACTTTTACTGCAAAGAAAAGTCTTCAGTGCTTCATTAGGAATGGACCAAGTGATAATTAAGGAGTAGACAAGATTTCACTTGACTGGAATCAAGTATCTCTTCCAACCTTCCCTCCAACTCAGTGCTTCTTATCAAGTAGTGTGGTAGTGGAAGATGGGACAGAAGAGAAATGACTAGAAGGCTGTTGAAATGAATGGATAGAAAAATTGACACCTCTATAAAAGTGAGAAGTGTTGATATCTCTGAGAACAAAATAAAAATACCCACATGCCCAACCTGAGGACCAAAATGAGAGAGAAAGGGAAGGGGAAATCTTTCCTATATCAGCAACATGCAATTCTTGGTACTGAAGGAGGGCAGGTTGCAAGTGAGAGGTGGTTATGGCATGGTGGAAATGGCCTCTATCTGATTTCCTGCAGCACCTACAGCTGGTGACCACGTGGGGCTGTTGACTCCCTTCTCTCGTAGCCCACTGGTGTGAATGTGGTTTTGGTTGCCATATCAGTCCATCTTTTTAAAAAACAAGTGGGAAATGAGGTTTTATGTTTCCCTCTCTTCCATATCACTCTGGATACAAACATGCCCTCAGCCTGGCAATGCATATGGACCCCTTCAGGTGCTCAATATTTCATTATTGTCTTCTGATTCTCAGGCAAGCAAGAGCTCAGCACCAAGTGGCTCCAGCTGCCACTCCACCACAGTGCTAATGAGCTGATGTCCATGTCCACACAGCTCCATTAGTGGCATCATTCAAAGCTGGGGTGTTTGAAGTGCTGTCATACTCCATAATTCAAAGAGATTCAAGCAGCAGTGATGATTCTTTTCTTCTTCTAAATCATTCCTTAAAACAGCTACATTTTCCTTAACCTCACATCACTAGCTCCTGTTTGATATGAGTGATTCTCTTAATGTTCCCAACTCCTTCTGTTTATTTTCCAGCTACTAATGTGCAGAGATGTGTCTTATAATATAGATGGTGAGATCTTGATTTTCTGGAAGGTAATTCCATACCCAAGGAGAAACAATTGCTCACTGTGACTGCACCTATCTGTTTCAGATTTCTGCTCTTTGGGCAAGAGATTGTCTTTGCTTGTGTATATATTTATTACTCACTGAACCCCTTGATTTTAATACTGTGTTCAACCTGATATAATTTTGTTTTAAAAAGTGTCTTTCATACTCCTGGGCCCAGGGCACTGAGGCATGTCCACTTGAAGCAACCAGCAGCTGCAAGTCCAGAGCCTTTGTACCCCTCACTACCTCTTCTGCCTTTTCCTGCAGGTTAGCATGGGTAGGGTAGTAGAGGTGGCAGAGAGAAGTGTGTGTGTGTTTCTTTGTAATTGAATCTTCTTTCACATTAGCACAGCATCACAGTTGTGGATGGTTTGGGGAGTGGATTGAAGCAGCTCAGTTAAGGAAATCTGCTCCCTACCTCCAGCCTGTCTGTGAGGATCTACACCCCTGGCAGAAGGGTAGAAAGAAGAGTGAGTTGGTGGGAAGAAGGATGTTACATGTTGCTTCTATGTCTGAAAGTGCCTCTCAGAATCCTAAGCCTCTTCACTCATTTGCAGGCCTTCATTAAAACAGCCACTTAGGTTAAGTTGCATAGCTGGACACAAAACTTAGGCTAGCATTCTCTGTCAGGTCAGATTCCTCCCTAATGTGAGCTGACACTTAGCCTTTTCCAATTATACCACACTGCTGAGGAGCATTTATGTCTATCAGTGGAAGCCTCTTAGGCCATCTGGAATGCTATTTGATTAACACTTGGTAAACACTGGTTCATTCCCTCTCACCCATACCCTTCAGCTCACATGTAAAAAGCTAATAAATGGCATCACAGTCACAATGTTAAGTTTAAATTTGAGGTATGCATGTGCTTGGAAGTTCAGTCTCGTGATACTAATCTGTTCATATAAGTCTGTGGTTGTGGTGGCACTAGACTTCACAATCAAAGCTTGCCAGACTTCTGCTACCTCATTTGCTGTTGTACAAAATCCTCAATGATTGTGCAATTTGTATGAGTTACACAACAGAGAATTGCATTCTTCTCTCTCCAGCATATATGCAAACAACAGCCAGATGAGTCAACACCACCCAAACCAGCTCTGTTTTCCCTGATCACTCTCTGTCCTTCTCAAAACCGTCCTCTACTGAATCAAGAAACGTAAGGTCAAGGATATTTGTCTCCGTTTCTGGGAGTATTTCAGCCATGTATTCAAACGTTACAAATGTCCTTGCTGTCAAGGACAACATGTGTCTGGGTAAGATTTTGCAACTCATTTTTACAAACTCCTTTTATAAACACTGCACATTTTGTGTCAATGAACTCATACACAATTTCATATCAACACTCTTTTGTCTGAAAGGTTAAAACTGGTAAAGGTTTACACCCATGTTTACACCCTGCCAAAGCATCATGAGAATCTCTCCTCCAAGCGCTGATTAGCTGAGAATCTGCTAATTCATTCTGTTCCTTTGTGTCTTCTGTCTACAGTTACAATGTTCACATGAGTGCTTCTTACTTTACAGCGCTTCTCAAACTGCTATATCTGTTAAAGAATTTTATTTTGTAATGTCAACATACTTGATTTTCCCAGAACTGCTGCAGTGTACTATCTTGTTGGCTATATCTCACGTTGTTAAGCTGTTCAGAATAAGATTTTAGATTCTTAACACTTCTGCTGAGCTTGTAATCAAATTCTTTTAACCCAGCTGACCTACTGACAGATAAAGCCAGAAATACCAGGGAGCTGCCTTACTGTCATTGTCACATTACAGGTTTTCAGTGACATTCACATGCCCTCTTTCACTGTTTGAACACACTGTGAAGAGGAACTGGCTGGTGACAGAGCAGCAGGAAGTGAAGAGCAGGCACTTCTTGGTCTCAGTACTATTAAACAGCAAGCTGTAGAAGCAGTGTGCTGGGAAAAAGTTGTGAGACTGAGAATTCAGTTTCTGGGTCATCTGTTCTTTGCTCAAGCATCAATGTTCCTCTGGGAGTGCCTTACCATAATCTTTCAGCTAAACTCTCCTAATATAATCCCGTATAACACCAGTGACTTATTTTGACTTCCCTCTCCTTTACCCTGAGGAAATAGACAATTTTTTCACCTATTGGCTGGATGAGAATTGAGTTATTTTGGTTTACTACTTTTACACCATTTAAAACCCAGCTTCTACAGGTGGCCAGCCTCTACTGGCCACATTGCAAAGAACTTAATGGTAGAAGGCATAGAATGACTGGCTTCCATGTGAAAAAAGAGTTAAACTTTCCTGATACAGGGGAAAAAAATCTAACTGTGAAACCTGTGCGTGAATTTTTAAAGAGCTGGTTATATAAGGAGTTTTAGTCCCAATTCACATTGTCATCTCACTTTTATCTATTTCTTAAGAAAAGACACTGCCCTGAATACATAAACCCATCTGTGCAAGTCCATTGAATTATGTACAGAAGGCAGGGGATGAATAAATAATGTAGCAGATTTTAAAGATGGCATCTCAAAAAGAAAAGGTGAATGTATTGCCATCATTGAAAGGTGTTCAAGCTGTTGGGATGTTGTGTAAAGCTTCAGTTAATTTACTGTACCTTGCCCTCCTGGATGGTGACAACATCGGGCAAACCTCCAAGTACCCGTGCACGATCTGGAAATAAAGAAGATTAATTTTCTTTAGTGTCTCAAAATCAAGTGTGTGCCGAATCCTATTTCTCTTCTAGTTCTTTCCTTTTGTCTTATTTATGTACAACTTGTCTCTGATATCTGTGCTAGCAGAGAACTATCCAGCATTTTTAGCACACCATTTGGACTTTAAAATATGTTGAATTCACAGCAAAAGATGTGTTAATAGTTGGTGTCAATCACTTTCACAGACGAATTAAAGTGCACGTGCAGTGTCCTGCCGACTTTGAGATCAGTTGAGTTTTAATTCTGAGTGCACAAAAATGATTTACACTCTTGAGATCTGGTGCTCAAAATTTTTACTGCAGTAAACTAAAAACGTTGGGTATCCAAAGGGAAATTAATGATGCCTGGTAAAGTGCTTGGAGATTGGCTTTTAATCTAGATACAAAGACAGACTTCAGTCTCAGTGTCAAAAATGAAGTTCCACCACTTGTGTGTAGCTGTGTGTAAATGAGACTGGTAACTGATTGATCTAGCTTTAAACTCAAGAGCCCCACAGTAGTGTTAGACAAATACAAATAAGCCAATCGCATGCAGGCTTCAGTGCACTTCTCCTGGAATACGGATTTTGTTCGTTGCATGTCTGGGTGGAGCCTGGCGGAGGAAGGAAATGACTGTACAGAATGTTCCCCTCTGGTGTGCTCTGTAAAAGATGTGCTCTGGAGCCCAGAGATAACAGCCTTGGGGGAGCAGGAAAGGCACTGTGCTGTGACAGTTAACAGTGCCTTGTGGGCAGCCCAGGGGCAGGAATGAAAGGCAGGGCAATCTCTGACCCCTTTGGGGGGGGGTCACTGTTCCTATCCAAGCCCCGCTCTATCTCTCTATGCATTTTTCTCAAATAATTTTTCAAATTCTAGTTCTGCCCTCATTTTTATGCAGGTCTGAAAGTAATTTGAAATTAATTTGAACAGTTCATTTTTTCATGGCTTCTTCTGTAAGTAGGGAGGGTAATGAGTTAAATAATTCAAGTTGAAGGCTAATAACTTACTCCTTAAGTAGTTAATACATACTTCTGTTTTAGTTGCTCTGGTGGAATGGACACACAGGCAAAAGTGTGAGGAGATTCTAAGCAATTCAAAAGCTACTGTTGCTTTCTTACCCATTTCTGTAAGTAATGCTGAGCCATTTGACATTTTAGAGCATTCAAAACTAGCCAAATTATTTTCTCAATCTTTGAAAACAAAGAGACTTTTGTGCAGAGAACATGCATGAGAGATCCTAGCAATAAAGTTTATTTTTAGAGAAGGCTAACTGATACTGAGAACAGGAGCTTGGATGAGAAAAATCAACCTAACCCATAAGAATAATATGATTAGCTGCAAAGTGCACCAATGTTAAATCAACAAAGGGTCATTTACTTCTCCTTGGTGTAAGGACAAACTCGTTTTAGGATGAGCACATGCATATAAACATGCCTACATGCCCTCTCTTTCCCAACACACAACCTTCCTGGAGAGGAAGACAAGCTTCATAAACCTTTTCTTGCAATCATTGTCAAAGAAGGCCTACTTACTTTTCTCTGCAATCGCAGCTTGCCTGGAGTTGAAAGAAACAAAGGGAGAGTCCAATTTCAGTTAGGGTTTACTTAGAGTGATTGAAAAATAGATTATCTTTTTAACTGCTTTTAATCCATTAAGGAAAATCTCTCTCATAGCTTGGCAATAGAGCTTTTTCTTTGCTACCTGACTGTTATATAAGAGTTGCATCAAAGAAGTCACATGCCAAACTCCTACGGGCTTCTGTATGACTAGAACTTGTTTCATAAGATAAAGTTATCTCCAGCACAAAACAAACAAATACTGTTATTATTTTATGGCTGCCATTACTGTATTTAGATGGCATAATACTTACTTTAATCTCTGGAACTCAGCAAAGGCTTCATCGAAGGCTTTGTAAAGAGGAAAAAAGTACATTTAGAGAGAAATAATCTCACAGGTTGAAACTTAAAATTAATAAATAAAATTAAAATGTAGATGTAATAAATTTAAAATGTAAAATTTAAAATGCATGCATGTGTACTGTACAAACACTAAAATGCTGAATGGTTTGACTGATAAAGGCCATCTGGTATATGGCAGGTATTATATGTACATATGAATGCATAAACACACTTTTTTCTTCTAGAAGTCAAGCTTTAAGACAGAGGGCAAGAAAGTAGTAGCTGAAGTAATTTCTCAGAAGAGAGAAAGAAATGCACAATGCATCACCTAAATGAGGGGTTATGGCAGCGACCCTCCAAACTCTTTATATTGTACATCCCTATATAAAATTATTTTGAGCATGCACTCCCTATATATAAATTTATTTATAGATTATGTAGATGTATACAAGTGAAGTACACTGGGTCATCTTGCACACCCACTTCAGTGACCACTGGGTTATGGAATACAAGAGAGATGATTTTCCAAGGATTTTTCCCATCTGCTTGAAGCTTGATGGGTACGAGCAAAGAGAACAACAAATTGCTGTCTCCTTTGAAAATTCAGGCTAAGCTGCCATCATGGGGGAGGTCAATCTCTCCTGCTTTGAAAGGGAAGAAGAAATGTCTTTTCCTAGAAAGTGGAGTAGAGTACAGAAGGAGCAGCATGGAGATGATTAAAATGTTATCACCCTTACACAGAACTTGCAAACAAAAAGTGAAGCTTTAGGGATGGGAACAGCTGGGAATGGAAAGAGCAGTTTGGAAGGAGTTAATCTGTTCTCTAGGATCTGAGAGGTCTCTCAGAGTAAAAGCTTCCAACAGTCAATCCAAATTTTTCCCCTAACAGTCCTTCCTCATGCTGATGAGAGGTCTTGGCATCTCGGAAGAATAAGGAGTTTTATTACACCCATCAAAGAAATAGAGTAGGAAAGTATCAGAACAAACTCGTCCCTCACTTCCTCCTGGAAATATTCCTTGGAAGAGAGACACACAGAAGGCATTCAGTGCTACAATTCATATTTAAAACTGCCAATTAATGCCAGCAACACAAGGGATTTTGTAAAATAGCTCTGCAACTGGGCTGGCATCTCAGTAGGCAGACTGTAAGTGGGTATTTGGATTAGGAAAAAGCGGTTTTTATTTTATTACTTGAGAGCAGAGGTTGGGGAAAACAAATGGTGTGGTCTGGGGAGAACAAATCACATAATCACTGAATAAGCTGAGTTGGAAGGAACCCACAAGGATCATCAAGTCCAGCTCCCAGTCCCACACAGCACCATCCCCTAGAGCTACATTGTGTGCCTGAGAGTATTGTCCAAAAACATTTCTTGACTCTGTCAGGCTTGTTGACACAGTCCCTACAAAAAATGCCAGACTGGTGGGTGCCCACACAGACCCCAAAGGGTGACAGGTCTGTGGCAAGATGCTGCTGTAGATGCTGCCACACTGCCACAGCACACTGCCCACACGGGGATGATGTTAGCAGAGGGGATGGCCTACCTTGTCCAGAAAGATCCACTGTCTTTTTGTGCGTTGTGTTGCCATCAAAGAGTTCCATTATGTATCTGCCTTTGTCCTGGGGAGTCGGCTCATTGATCTGCAACCAGATCTGCTCCCCGGTGACACCAGTCCTCATCCGGTCCGTGAACTTAATCTGGGTATCACTGAAAGCACAAAACAATGTTACCTTTTGGTTTTACTGCAGGATAAAAAGGGTTTGCTCATGCTGAGCCACTGAGCATGCCTGGAGTTACTAAATGATTTCCAAGACACCATGGTATGCCACCGTATTCTGAAACCTTTGAAGTCAAACCCTTGCTACAGTTGTGAGCTAGAATTGGTGTGACAGCCTTTCCCTGTTCAATGTCCAGCTGTCCTCAGAGCTTGCAGAAGAATTATGCATCTCAGTCTGCAACCTGAGCCATAGAAAAGCTGTACCAGTCTAAAAACCAGATCTCTGAAGGGTAGCCCAGGCATCCAGAAATGTTGCTGTTCTCTTATTAGCATTTATTTCTGCTTGGGCAAAACAAAAGTATACAGGGCTGTATCAACAAAAAACCCTCCAGTTTTGTCAGAAATGGTGTTTGCCCAGTTTGAATGATTTCTGATGCTGTACTATGTTTGGAATTTAAACACACTTTGACATAAGCATATATTCTTCCATTAAAAGAACAGAAAACAAAAGAAAAAACAAACCAAACACCCCCCTCCCTCACCCCCCAAAATAAATTTCTTAGCTTTCTAGCCAAGCAGTTAATTTCCCTGGATGAGTCAAAAGATATTTGCCAAATAAGCTACTCATTTCCTTGTTATCTTTAAATTGATAACTTTGAATGCACTGGAGGGGAAAAAAAAATTTCTAGATTAATTTGACATGCTTCAAGATGAAACAAGTTTCTAAAAATGAAATGGAGAAAAGAGAGAAAGAGAGAGGGGGGAAAACCCCACAATACTTCATATTCTCTTGCCCTTAGTTGAAATACTTGGGACTTTGGATGATACCAGGTCAGAATGAGTGCCAAGAAACAAGAAGGCCTCCAATAGTTTTCATTTCTCTGACAGGGTGCTGGTTAACATCAGTGTCAATAATTACAGCAAGCCTGGTACAGCATATCCTGGGTGTTCTGTGCCTCATTTACATGAGTTTTATTGAGAGATCAGTAATTCAGATTCCATCACACAGAGTAACAACTACCATGTCCACAGGAAGTGAAACAGCAAGAATAGTAATAATAGATTTGAAGTGATCTAAGTTGTTTACTTCTCTTATTTACTCCTCTGGGTTTTCCATAGCAAGCTGTTTGTGCAGGCTGAGAACTCAAAGCTGTATCATAGATTTGGATGTGCAACTCCCATTAATGTTATGGGAAGCTGGGCATTCAAATTCTTTTTTGAAATCTCAGTTCTTCTGTCTGTCTTGGTTACGTTTGTAGTGCTTGCAGGAGGGGTTGTCTGGATTTTACCGCCCCAGGCACATGCTGGAATTTGCTTTGCCTCCTAAAAACGAAGCCATGCATTAAGAGGATATGCCTGCTTGTCCCAGTTCCACTGAATTGTGGCTTCTAGACAAGCAGACCTCCAGGGCAGGTATCTCTGAACCCGTGGTGCTGGCCTCTTTTGAAGCCTGATGGTTTTTTGGGCTATATTTGCATCACTCCATAAAACTGAGTCAGGGAAAGATGCAGCTCCCACTGGGGAGGTGGGAAGTGCTCTGAAGCAGCACCATCCTGCTGGCATCCTGTGGCATGGGACTGTCTTTCATGAGAGAAACAACAGAAGGGCCTGGAACCAGCACACCTGACTCTCACACTGATTACATTCACAGGAATATGAATACATTCATATTCCTGTGAATGTAATTGACTGAAACAAACTCATATGAGAGAAGGACTCATGAGAGAGGAGGGTAAAACCTGGGCCTCATCTCTCTTGCAAATCCAGGTTCTTTCTGGATCTATGAAATCAAAATTGCACTGGGTTTTGCAAAGTCCTTGTGTACTTACTTGTGCACCCAGCCTACTCTCAAATCTTCTACATAATAAGTAACATAGGAGTACAGTCGGATACCCTCAGCTGTGCTCTGGATTTTCAGGTCTGTTGCAGATAAAGCTGAAAGAAGAGCACATGGTTTTATGCAGCCATACAGCCATTCATTGAGTGCCACAATGAGTCATTCATTTGAAAAAAGAATTAAGTGCTTACCAATCCTTCTGCATACTTCATTCATCAGATCTGCAAAAGCTGTGGAAATAAAATCCAGAGACTAAGACTCTGTGTCTGCAGTTCAAGCACAGTCAACAGTAAGGACAAGTACTGGCTCTGATATATTCTCCCAGAAGGTTTGAAAAACCAGTCTTTGAAAAAGCTACCTTTTCAAGCACATTAGAAATCTGAGTAATGCAGAAATGTAGCCTGTTATTTTACAGTTTCCAGGCTTTATTTAAGTGCAGTCTTGATGAATACTGCTGCAGCTGAACAAGATGATATTTTTTTTTTTTTTTTTTTTTTTGTAAATGATGCTGTTCAGCTGGAATGCTAACCCATTTATATACATTCTAATGGATAGGAGTGGAATGTTAAGAACATAGTAATCACAGTAAGTGGAAAGGCCTTTTTGCATGTATGCAATTGACAAAATATAATAAAAATATTTTTAAATTATCTAGTTATGTAACTTTTTCTATTCTTGTAGGTTTATTGATAGCCCCCTGAGGAAATCTGTTGTAATTTTGCTTAGTGGTAATCACTGTATGCTCCCAAAATTATACAGAATCCAGATGCAATAAGCTGTATTCAAATGTTATTTGAACTGAAAAATCTCAGTTTTTCTAATCAGATGGTGTTGTATGCATGAGAAACAAAGCCACAGGAAGGCAACACATGCAGATGCCTGTATTACCCTGAACCCACTTCAGCCCTGGTATCTGCTGGTGTGGCTGAGCACAGCCAGACTCTGACCTGTGTCCTTGAGCGTCAGCTCACTGGAGTCCTTTCCTCTGTCGTCCTTCAGAATGACTTCATATGTGCCAGCATCTTTCTTAGAAAACTGCAATATTGTAATGATAAAACCAGTTTTCAGAACAGGTACTGTAGAAAAATACAGATTTTACTTGTGAACGCAGCAGATATCCTGTCCCTGTCCCCAGCAGGTACCCGGTGCCTGAGGTTGTCCCCGTGCCTCCCAGCTGCCCTCCTCCTGCCTGGGGTGCTGGGATGGGCTTTGGCAGGAGGTCCTGGTGTGCAGGACTTTGTCCTGCCCCAGATCTGCTGCAAGGCTGGGTATGAACCAGACCCCTCTGGTGACTCTGAAAGCCTGAGTGACAAGCACTTTCCAAATGCTATTCAGAATGGAAATGTGGTCTCAATCTGTTGCTAAATTGACATGCAAAGGAAGTGACAAGCTTATTATCTCTTCTGTCATCATTTCCTGAAAATCTGAACAAGCAGTTACAGACAGACATTTGCTTTAGTGAAAACACAGACACCTTGTGAGCTTTTCCATTTTTAAAACCCACTTCCTTTTTCAATTGTTCTGCTGGAGTACCAGATTAGATCATATAACTCATGTGAACTCAGCTGAAGGCTAGTGAAGACAGTCACTCACCTCTGATATCAGCAGAGTACACACACCATCCTTGAAGTCATGTTCTTCATCTACCATTATCTCCCTGTCATCTTTGTACCACACAATGTGTGTTTCCTTCTTAATATTAGCCACCTAAAATGGATGAAAACCACACTGCAATTATTCACTTCACCTGAGCAGGGGAGCTCAGTGTTGTAATTTGGGTTAGCTTGTTCCATGGGTTAGTGTGTTCAGGTCTCTCACAGAAGAACAGCAAGATTTACAACCTGATAGCAGTGAGTTACTGCAGGCCTCCATTTTAAAATGAGGGAGGCAAGAGGGAAAACAATAGGGATGCAAACAGAGAAAAAGGAGACTAGGGAATGAGTTGATCCTGCCCAGGGAATTTCAACATGCATAAACAGGCCAAAAATGAATTAGTCCCTGGATTTACAAAGACTTGTCATTCTTTTTCAGCTGCCTGTCTCTGAGTGGGTGGCTGATGGACCTGAAGAAAGAAATTCAAGCTATTTTCCAACATATTTTGTTACATGCAATTAGCTGTTGCCTCGGCAGGGTTTACCTTCAGAGGCTCTGTCACTGCCCAACATGCAGCTGGGAGTAAAAAAGGAAAGGGCATCTCTTTAGTCCCTTCCCAACATCTAGGTAGTGGTAGGCCAGTGTGGTGTACTCTGAATATTGTACTCAGGGTTTTCCTTTCCCCTTACCTTACATTTCAACATCACATTACACTCATCAGTAACTTCCCATCCCAGTTTATCCACGAAATGAGGACCTGTTTGAAATTACAGGAATGTTTTTAAAGGTCTCATCAATGGTATTCATAATGCAAAATGAAAGACAGATGTGTTTTACTTGACAAGAATTCCGTTATATTTTAATGTGGTTTTATTTTTCCTATTTCTGCTTCAGAAGTACCCACTTAGCACAACAAAACCCATGTATTTCAAATGAACATATATAACTATAAACAAATTCTTAACAGACTAACACATATGTGATACTTATAAGTATTTGTATTATCACCTTGTTTCCTGTGCCACTCTTTTCTCTGGAAATCTGCTTCATCCTGTAGCTTCTTGAATACTAGGAATTAAAACCAGTAAGAAATACAAGGTTAAACTTCATGTGCCATTTGTACAATGCTGAATGTCACTGCAACAGTTCAGTCTAACTCTGTCCCTTGGATGTCAGTGAGAATCTGGCCATAGGATCAGGTTTTTACTGGACATTCCAGGATGTCAGAAGCTGATTATGGCTAACTCAACTTCCCCAGCTGCTTGCAGTCATCAGGAGTTTTATGTGTCCTGCCTGATGATGTGCAATCGTGCAGCTCCTGGTAGGAAGGCAAATGAGAGGCAGCAGAGTCAGCAGCTGCTTGAGCTCTAACAGGTGCAGCTGCTTGTTCCCAGCTGAATGGACTTTTTATATGGGAAATGTTCATTCCACCCATAGGAGAGCAAACCACAACATGCTGCAGTATTTTACATTTCTGTAACAATTCCCGTTTCTCCCATCACTTTAAAAATTTCAGTTCACATACATGCCCTGTCCTGTAGGAGGCAGGCAAAATTGTGACATAAAAAAACTGGAAGATCTGTTGGTGTTGAAAACAGTGAAAAGCCAGCCCACTGCATAATACAGATCAGCCTACCATCACCAATGAGGACCAGACTAGATTGATTGGTTGCTTTTCCATCCTGCAGCTGGAACGTGTAAGTGCCTTCATCCTTCTCCTCAAGCTTGTCCATAATCATTTCAACAAGGCCAGTATTCTTGTCCACCTTCATTTTGTATTTCTGCAGGAGTGGAAAGTAAAGCAACAATTAATATATGTCAGAGACAGAAAATATTTGTGAAGTGTTATAATGGTCTCTTTAGGAGAAACTTTGTTTTCATTTGGATTCCTACTTCTTCAGGTTCCCATTTGTACAGATCACCATCCTATTGTAGACTCACTGTCTCTAGCTCCAGCTCCAAATGTACAACCAAATAAATAAATCTGTTTATTTACTGATGCTGTACAAGCACATGTCATGCCTGTTGCACAGTGAGTACTATAATCTTTTTCATTAGAAAGGTTTAGATTTGCATCTCTTCAGAATAATGCTTTCTTTGAGGGTGATTATACTGTACAAGGTTGTGTCTGGAATGCTCCATCTCTGCCTTCTATCTGATATCAGTGTTGCAACAAAATCATGCCATGTCCCATCTTTGGGTGTAACAAGTTCTGCAGCTGGAAACAAACACTTGGGAATTTTTCTGTGATGTAATAAATTCCTTCAAACCACAAAGACAGGTGAGAATAAGAGCATTCTAGGGCTATAGATGAAGGAGGTAGGAGGAGTCTGGGCAATTGCAGTGACTCCCTGAAATCACAGTTAATAGAACAGGTGGTATTCACAAAAGTGGCAGGAAGGCAAATAACTTCCCTTTACAAAATGCACCCAGTAGAATTCATCTGGACCTCAGAACTATGGATAAAATCTTTCTAATCATGTTTTCCATGACATATGCTATTTCTCATGAAAATTCATCAGAGTGGAACATAGTTGGAAGTATACTGAAGACAAGAAACACTAATCCTCATTGATACTCATGAAAATGCAAACACATGTAAGCAGTGAAAAGCCTTACCTCTCCATTGAAAATCTCCTTATCATTAAACACAAAATTGGCCTTTGCATTGCCAGACAGTTTTTCAGCTTGCAGCCAGAATCTCACTTCTCCTTTTTCCAAGATTTCCACTGCCAACTCAGAGATAAGTGGGACAGCTACAATGAAGAAAGAAAGGAATGATGCCTATTTTGCCTATAACAACTATTGTCTGCAACAACCAGAAAGCCACTTAGTCCTCCCATACTCAAATACTGTATGCAAGGTAACTAGCTCATAACAGCTCTTCACATAGACAGAATGCCTCTGCACCCACATATACCTAGAATGACAGATGAGATATAGTCTTTTGATCCTTCAATCACAAGGTCTGACCAAACTAAAAGTGTTCAAGATTTGATTGATGCTCCATTCTAAAACAAGGCTATTTCAAATGCAAACTGCAAGTATCTGTGCAGCATTATGTGAGTCTGTATGCTGCAGACCCATGTTTAATAAGTTGTCTTATAATATTACTGTAAGACAGTGAACTGACTCAGACGGAAAAAAAATAAAACAAAACACAAAAAATCTCCAAGCACAAAGCCGGATCAGAAAGTCAGCTGCTGAGCTGTAGGTTGGGAGATTTTTGAAAACACTCTGATCCTCTGCTGAGTGGAACCTCTATCTCCAGAATTCACCAAATATCCCAACACATCTTCAGTCTCCCCAGTACATTTTGTTTTCTTATGAGTAACTGAAACCCCCACATATAAACCAAGTGTGTCAACAGAGAAAGAAAAAATGTAAAAATCATGTACTATACCACTCTTTTTTGGTTAGTTAGTTCCTGTTAGTAACAGTCCTCAGCTTGCTTTCACTTTAACTTTTCTTTAAGACACCATAATCAGCAACATTAAGCATGAGGAGTTAGACTCTGCAATTGGGGCATTTTGCTCATCTCACTGACTTCTGTCATGTTATCTGTCTTGGTGGATGTGCAGATTCTCAGTAAAAATCATACTCTCAGCATTATGTGTGCTGCTGTGTGTGAACTCTCCCCCAGGCTCCACTTTCTCAGCAGTGTAAAGTCTGTGTTGCTAGGGTGTAGCAGCTGAGGACAGTGCACAAACACGTTGCAAAACACATGATGATACAGTCATCATGTGTGTGAAGGCACTCCTCCCAGGGCAGGCTGGTTTCTTTAGCTCAGTGTGTGCAGAGCCTCAGCTGCAGCAGGACAGGACTGGGACCAAAGCAAGCCTGGTTTCTCTCATCCTGCTATTTGCTCCGTTCTAAATGACTGGGGTGCCTTCTGGAGCACAGCTGCCACCCCACCCCACTGCCAAACAGACTTAGGGGGTGAGGACCCCTCAGCTCTTCCTTTGTCACACTCACTCCTTCTCCCTCCTACACCCACACCCGCGTGTGTGCTCTCAGTGCCTGAGTGGCACAGGGTCTGCCTCTGATAAAAACAAAGCTCCTGGGCGGTGAGGCAACAATCACCAGGAAACAGAGAATTATGGAAAAGGCACATGCTTAACCAGAGAGGGAAAAGCCTGGAGCCTGAAAGGGCAGCATTGCCATGAGGGAGTGGGGCAAAGACAACCCCATGGAAGTGTGTCCCTGCTGTGCGAATGGTCCATGTGAGCCTTCCTCACCCAGCACATCACTGTGTGTGTAAGAAACAGAAGGAATCTCAGGGCTTGCATAATTTCTTAAAACAAAGCAACTGAAATGCTGAAGGAAGCAAGTGGGAGTGTGAATAGACTTCAGGCTGCACTGCTTTTGTCTCACTGTCAGCTCTACAGAAATTTTAAACCCCCACTTGGCTTGCCTGTTATTAACTAAGAATATCTTAGTCTAACATGGAAGAGAGAGAAGTATCTCGGCAGCTATTAAATAAATGGCTGAAAGGATGCAAAAGGATTCTTTTTTGGAGAAAAGTCTGATCACTTCTCAGCCTAAAGGAACTGGGCAAATTTGCCTTAAAGTCTGCCATGAGCAGAAGTCTTATTTAAAATATTTCCATAAGCACTGATGGCTATTTTAGGCATTTTCCAGTGGTTTTACATCCTATTTGTACAGCATTACAAATTACTGGCAGCACTTGACAGGCAGCCCTTGGGCAGTTGCTGAATGGAGGAGTTGGAAGAGTTTCTTTTTGCCTTGTACCAACACACTGCCGTACTCATACGTGGCTGTGCTCTGTAAGGCTCTTATTCAAGCAATCCATTTTCCCATGGAGTTACTGGCTGCATGTGTTTCTAAGCAGAAGTTCCATTAATTGCTGCTCAGAAGCACAAACAGCTGAATCTCAAGCCCTGGTTGTAATATATATTTTCCTTGAAGTGTACACAAGGGCCCAGAGTGGCCAAAGCATATGAGACAAGTTTCCTCCTTAAGGATACTTTCTGCAGTGATCTCCCTTTTCTGCCTGTGCCTTCTGGGAGCTCATGCACAGCTATATCTGTGCTGTTACCTGACACAGTGCAAAAAAAATTGATCTGATCTATGTCCTGAGGCAATATTTTGTGACACTGGTAGTGAACACAAAGCATGGAAGTGGCCTTAAGAAGGGAAGAGTCAGGGCAAGTAAGGTCATGAGACAGCAGCAAGGTTTTGTGATGACCGACTTTTAGTGTGAAAATATAATTAGGAGAAGATGATTGGGAGGAGCAGGAGTAAACAAGGGTTTGGTTGGGCTGTCATTAAGCTATCAAAAGGTGATACAGTATGTTGAGAAGAGTAGAGCCAATGAGAAAAAGACGAAGAAGGAAATGAGAGAGATGATGTAGGCAAAAAGGCCATTTCTGTAGCCAAGGATTGGCTGGGCTGAGAGATGCAATGTGGGCTGAGTTGGAAGAAGTGCCAGCAGTGCATGCACTAAGCTGAAGATTTTAAAATGCAGGCAAGAGTTTTAGTGCCTGGAATGAATAAGAAGAGAATATAGTGGGAGATGAGACCAGGTTTAGGTCTCATCTTGTTGTGTGCTTTAAGATTCATTATGTAATCCAGTATTATTTCTCCCCCCTTTATTCAAGTAATATTCCAATAAAAATAACCAAATCGTGCTATTACCAGGGTATCATAAATGTCTGTGGAAATGACAAAAATATCATCCCAAGTGTAGAAAGCATGTTCAAATTTTGTCAAATGTTCCAGGAAAGAGGGAGAGAATGAATTTCAGCAGGAAAATTCTGTATATATAGATCGTTACAGCTGAATTTACTACACTTGCCAAATTTGTTAACCTTAAATTTAATGTATGTTAACTTCGGTTGGAGTAAAATTAGAGAATCTTTCAAATTCTGGTTTTCAAATCAGGTCAAGCATGCTGAATAAGTATTAAAGCCTGTTCTGCAGAAGAAGCAAAGCCAGTATGATAGTTATTTTCCAGCTGTTGTACAGACTTATTTTATAGACCAATAACCTGCAATAGTTTGGGAAGAACATCAATAATATACAAATGTACTGAAAGAGGGAGAGAAAAAAAAGAATTTTAATTTTTTCAATGCCAATCCACTTTCACTTGAAATTACTGTAGCAACCTCCTTACCTGATGGTGGCAGGAGGTTTGTAACCATAGACTCACAGAATGGTTTGGGCTGGAAGGGAGCTCCAAAGGTCAGCTAGTCCAAGCCCCCTGCTATGAGCAGGGACATCCTGAACTAGATCAGGCTTGTGATACGCCACTGCATGCAAAGCTCTCCCCTACAGACACGACTGATTCACTTACTTGGGAACTGCCGTTCATGGCTCAGAGCAAGCAGGCGTTTCATTTCTGCAAAGGACATAAAAAAGAAGTAATATGAGGTGTGTGAATGCCTTTTGGATCTGAGAGACACAGCAGCAGGGAATAACAGATGTGAAAGCAAACTAGGAATGCTAAGTAGGCATTGTGTCTACCTTCCTCATCAATTGTGTAGCTTGATGAAACTCCATCAGTGTCTGTGACAATGCAAGAGTAAATTCCCAAATCATCTTCTCCAAGATTCTTAAAGGAAAGTTTAGACCTATAAGGGGGGAAAAAACCCATTATCATGAAAAGATAGAATACATCTGAACCAAACCCCTCCTTTCTGTCTATATTACCAGATATGAATAGCCTTGTGTTAGCTTTTGCTTTGACTGAACAGACAAATGTTTGGCTCTGTCAGCTATAAATCAAAGCCCTACCATGTGTGGTACAAATGGTGATGGCACCAAAACAAAAAAAGCATGTTGTCAAGGCTTTGATGATCCTGGAAGGATACTGTAGATGCAGTATTGTGACTGTGGTGGGCCACTGTTTCTTTCAATATGGCTTCTAGGAGAGCACACAGGCCCTCCATGGGCTGAACCTGTGCATCCTCCTTGTCTTCCTCTGGGAAAAGCCTGAAGAGACAGAGTATGCTTGGAGATGTTATATAAGTTACCAAATCAGGCCATGGTGATGCTGACATAAGAAAGCCTTGTTTACTGCAGCAGTTCCAAAGATTACAGCTGCGTTACAGGGCAAAAGCATTTTAAAGAAGCCAGATAATTTTATTATTTGGAGATTTAAAATAATAGGAATAATAATAATCATTGTCATCATCATCTGTCTTGACTGAGAGGTTATAAGGTGACAGGGCTCAGATTTTCTCTCCCCATGCCTAAAAATCACTAAAGTGCCTACAGAGGAGGTCTGACTCATTCAATGCAAGCTACAGTTTTCAAATGGTCTGGGTATGAATTTACTGAAGAACAGCATTCTCAGGAAGTAACCATCAAGTAACAGAGGCAGTTTTAACTCTTCCTGAGGTCATACATTAAAAGGATGGATTTCTGTGACAGTCTAGATCTCAAATACAAGACTATTGCTACCCCTGAGGGTCTTACTTTCCGCCTTTGGTATCGATGTTCAGTCGAGGATCATCCTCAATTGGTTCATAATTCTTGGACCAAATGAACTTAGAGTCTGGAGACATCTGATCACATTCAAAGTTCAAGGAAATGACTCCATTGTCATCTACATCCACCACCACTTCCTTGGTTCCTTAAAGAGCAGAACAAGGCAATTCCAGTTTCTCAGAGAATTCAGCAAATAAATTTCTATAGATATCATTCAGAGAGTGGATTAAGCAGATCTTTGCCATTTTCTCAGCTGGAACATAAATTGCTGCACTCACTGATATTCCTTGATTTACAAGAATAGTTCTTTTGATAGTCTTTGATTTACAAGAATAGTTCTTTTTCTAATCCACAGGTTAAAACACATCATAAATAATCTGATTTACTTGCGTGAATCTAATCATACACATGAGTTGCAGTATTTGCCATAAAAAAGCCTGAAAGGGGTAAAGAAATCAAGACTCTAAATCCACTAAATGTCTGAGCTATTAAATAGCAATATTTTCCATGGTAAGCAGTGATTAGAATTTTCATTATGCAGCATGGATTTCCTATTCTCTAATAGGGTAAGTGCTATACAGGGAATAACATGCAAATGTGAGCATTTGAAGAGGTGAAGAAGAGGAAGCAGTCAAGTTGTCCCAGCAGCACACATTTGTGACTGAGGCCCATTTTTGGTGACACTGGCTTCGCTCAGGGAGGTTGGTTTAATTGCTGTGCTTGGCACCCAGCCCTGCTGCCGTCTGCACCATTAATCCTGGGCCCACAAAGGGAGTGAATATTTGCAATTAGCTGCTTAAGTCACCCACCCAGTCTTGCCAGAGCCTTCAGTCATTGAGCTGGATAGGGTGACCCAGTTTGTACTTTGAAAGGCCTTGGGGGTGAATCCTGGGTCAGCAACCTGAAGGCATCTCAATTCTGCTCCCTCACACCCCAGGGGAGCTGAGGGTATTTCGTCTGGGATTTGGGCAACCCAGTGAACTTGTCATCTGTGGCATTAATGTTCATTTCAACAACTTGTCTGAGAATGTCAGGGAGAGCATGTGCACTGAGAGGGGCTGGAGGACATCCAGCCTTCTTTTCTGAATAGCTCTGAGCTGGATCTCGCATCTGAATAGGGCACTCATGTCCTGTTACTCGGGCTAAGACAATTCTGGGCTGCCCAGAATACTAATGACACACTTTCTTCACAAAGTATTGTACTTCAAAGACAAGAGCCTTATTCCTGACACTGAGATTGAATGCTTTATTTTCAGCATAATTCTTAGTGACCCTCAAGCATAGTAGGAGATTTCTGTGTTTCATCGTCCCAAAACTATACGTCTTTTCCAGCACTGCAAGCAGCTCCTGTCATGACAATCTGATTACAGATAGCTTTCTTAGTCTTCACACTTTGCCATAAGCATTTAATGAAAGACGAGATTAATATTCCCATTTTGGTACTGTTATGTACCAACCCTTGCAGCAGTGAAGCACATTAAGTACCATTATATGATAAATGAAGTCTGAGACCTACAAATATTTTACTAGGCAAGAATATATTTGCAATTTTTTGTTATAATTCAATTTATTACATGCAAAATTCATCACTAGAAATTTCATTAGTGTTTAGCTTCTTCTAGGTCATTAGCCCATTAATCTTTTGATGGCACTTTATGCGACATGGAAAGAATTACAGCCATAAGGATAATTTGAACAATAGAATCTTTTACATTCATTTCAAAGCATTTTCATTGTGGTAACAATGTATAGCATTTATTTTCAGAAGTGATGATGGAATTTACCTCTAATATTTCTATGAGTAAAAAAATGTCTAAATTACAGACCACATTTGAAGAACTCACTCCACCTATCCTGCAAAGTGGAGCCAAAGAAGCTGCCACAGTACTAACAGTCCTAATTTCCCTCCTCTAGAGAGCTTGGTGGTTTCAACATATCATCCAGAGCTTCTGTTAGAGTCACAGTAAGAAATAAAATACTTACATGCCATATCACATCTCCATAACAGAACATAAAGCTGACATCTTCCAGACACGAGAGGTAATGGCATCATTTTGAATACAGCCAGAGAAGTTGAATGGGACAGTTTCCTCATTTTCTGAGGTTCAGGCCCTTCTCAAGTGGCTGATGGAAGCTCATAATCTAATTTTGCTTTGTATCAACATAAACAAGGACTAAGGGCAGCAATACAAGAGTTGCAGTCTGCTCTTAGATTTTTCTTGTTTCCTGTGAGATCCACATATGCTGAAGTGCTTTTGTCAAAACCCGAAATTACAGATCAAAAGTAGTCTGGATTGGTGGCATTAGTTGTATTAGTATTAGTATTAGTTTACATGGTTGGGATTCCTAATTTAATTTTAGAAGATAACTGTACAGATTAAACATGGTTTTCAATTAAAAGGAAGTGGATGCAAAGTATTGAATAATTATATTTACACATTTCTTTGGATAAAGACAGCTGGCACCTTTTGTATGAAAGTAGGTATTTTCATTCAGGATATTATTTGCTTGCATTATTTGATTAGAAATCTCAGCTGTCTTGTAATTTTATACATTCACCAAAAGTAGCATTCCAGCAGGAACTTTCTAGAGAGACCTGACAATATTATATGTCTCCATCCAAGATGGTAATAGAGGCATGATTAATAGTGCAGCACCAAAATATTTGTGGTCATTTTAAAAAAAATTGTGTGATTTTTCTCGACAGTTTTGTGGTTAGAGTGAGAAAAGGTGTAAGCCTGCTAAGGAGGCTGTTTTATGAAATAATTGTTTTAAATAAGTTTTTGTCTTTTCTTAATACCTCTAAGAAGCTTAGTTTGGTGGATTCTGTATCAGCAGATCTCAGCTCAAAATATGGGTCAAGTAGATTTGTACACGTAACTACTTTTCAGTTTCCCTGAGTGTTCACTGGGCTAAATCCTCATTTTCTGGTGATCCCTCAGATGTCATACCTATGAACTCTCCTTCTCTAATGGTGAGGTCTGTAAACCAAATGTTCTGCTCAAGTTCACATCTTTTGAGTGAACACTGTACAATTTTTTTGGCCTTTTTGGTCATCTTCACAAGAGTCTGTTTGTATTTTTTCTCAGTTGTAGTAACATGGTCAATCCTTTATTTAGGACACTTGAAGAGTGTTAACACCACAATGTTTTATCAGAAGTATGATGCACAGATATTAACCCTCAATGAAAATGGATTAGCAAAGCCAAAAGTTTAGTCTTAATAGTGGCTTAATTCTCTTATTAGAAGTGGCTGCTGTTTATAGCTGTTTTCAGGAATAAATTTTTAAGGTTTGCCTTACTCCCCTTGCAGGTGATAGAAAGAGCCCTGGTGCTTCAGCAGCTTATAGATCTGAAATTATGTTTCCTATATTTTTCAAAGATCCTGTTTCAAACCCTTCTTATTCATACAATTACTTACCTTCTTTTTGTCCTTGTATCCCAATCTTACATGCTTTCAACTGACCATCTACTCCTTCCAGTCTCTTTTTCCCATCCCAGCTCCCTAGTCTGAGCTTTCCAGTTCTTTTACACCCCCAGCTTCAGACCTCCTTTTACAGGCTTTTTTGACTTACAGCCTCATGGAGGTCTAACTCAATACTTGTTAGAATTTTTGCTGTCCTGGTCATAAGGATTGGGCATGTATGAGAGCTGAGCAAAAGGATGTAAAAATTAACCTAGGGGTCAGAAACTGGGAAAGGATCCCAGGGAAATGCAGTCTGCAAGTGTAGTAAGGGAATTGTCAGAGGAGAAGAGGGTGTATGATGAATCAAGGTTGAGTTGTACCCCTGTACCTTCTTACCTCATACTAACCTCATACTAGATTTGTTTAAAATGACTGGGATTTCATTTTTGCACTTTGTAGGACCCTGCACTTCTACAATAGTCTATAGATGAGGAAGCCACAAGTCCATGCTTGGGTTTTCTGCTGGGGGCTTGGTGACAAAAAAGTGTTGTCTCTGACCAGTCACCTCTGTTACTTGTACAGCTAAATAAAGCCCAGAGGGTTCCTGAAGTTCCAGGTGCCTTTGGAGATGCTGCCTTTGCACTGGTTCCTGTGTTTCTTGCTGATCTTACAGGCACAGTGGAGCCTGCCTTCACTGGATTCCTCCAACAAAGAACTGCACTACTGAAAGTGATCTTCAAAATTACTTCACTGTGCTTTTAAAGCCTTTATTTTAAAGACCAAGAGGAAAAAAAAACATGTTTTCTTTTATCCTTTCCACATTACATAAGAAAAGGAGAATGATAAAGCATAAAAAACTGGTTTAACACAGGAAAGGCAAAATTTACATCTGTAATATTGTTTTGTTGAGCTGGTCTTACTTGGTCCTCTACTTATGCACCTATCTGTAGAGACTTGCAAATCTTACAACTTTACTGCATCTTTATATTCCTGAACCTGTAGTTACGATAAGAAAATCTGTTCTGACCTTAAAACATACCAGACAATGAACTCAAGATATGGCCCTCAACTCATATCTTACTTCATAAAAAAGCTTGACCTGAGAAGGATCAGATTCCTGGCATGTAGCCTGCAGGTAAACACATTGCACAAACAGGAACCTGTGTAAATATGATGACAAGGAGGAAGTCTTTCTAACGAACCTGGTCGTGTTTCTGCTATGACAGCATCTGTGACATCTGATGGCTTCCCAACGCCAGCCTGGTTTGCTGCCCGCACACGGAACACGTAGCTCACACCTTGTGTCAGGCCACCAATCTGGAGGAACCAAATACATACAGTGGTGTGTTGCAAAACACTGATTTTAATTTCACACTTATTAAGATCAGTCTGGGTATTTGACAATTCTATTTCCTTTCTTGTTTTGTTTCTTTTCCAGTTTTTTTTTTTTAAATATTCAGCTCCAGAGTGACATGACTAATCTGTGTGACTTGCTCCTTCCTTGTGTGCATAGTTAATGTTCAGGCAGCGTCATTGCTGTCATTGATTTCTTAGCAAAAGGAGGACTGGTTTTGGAACAGGATGTTTTTAACTCATGTACATTGACCTCTGAAACATCATCGTCTTTTACTGCACATAAATGCTGGCTTTGAAAAATTAAATTATCAGGGTAATAAGTGCCAGCCACACCTATTTAGAAACAAGAAGGAATTTAATAGTACAGAGTTAATTGCAGTGACTGGAGGAATTATACTGAAATTATGTCACCTGGGGATACTCCTATAAAACATATATGAAAGGATCACACTTTAAAATTACTTGTCTTTCAAATATTCTGAAAAGTATAAAAATAGCAAACCTACTTCAGGCTTATCTCTAGAACTGTGATACTGCTGATCACTTATTTCAAAGTCATTCCACAAAATTATGTATCATGTGTCCTACTGAGTAAGTGGAGCCATGATCAGCGCAGGATGATGCAGTCAAAACTGACTTCCCCAAGGTTATGCTGCTATGCCAGTATTTGAATCTTCAGCAATTTACCTTCAAGTATTTCTTTTGAAGGGGCTTCTCATTGACACTTCTCCAGCGTTCCTCCTTTGCGTCAGTTTCCTTCATATCAACATAATAACCAACTACGGGAGTACGACCAGAATAAACTGGTTCCTTCCACAGTAACACCAGAGAGTCTTTCCTAACTTCTGTGCATTTGACATCATGGGGTGGCCCTGAAATGTAAAAGTTGGAGTGTGGTGTCAAAATAAATCCCAAAGGGACCAGTGCATAAGACTCCAGAACCAAAACCAGACAGAACCCAGAACAGTACACAGAACTTATATAACATTTAGCTCCTCTGTATCATACCTAGACCCAATGTACAAAATACAGCCCATGCCAATTAAAAAGACTAACCCAAAACACAATCTAATTGGTTGAGATTGGTATCTTGATCAAATATTCATGAGCTTACAAAATGGACAAATAATCCCCAAACTCTGGGAAATAAGTTAATGATTCAGCTAATGCTGCTTCAAGGACTGGTCTAAAGTCCACTGAAGTCAGCGGAGGTTGTTTTCATTAATTTCAGTGAATGCTAAAAGGTCAGGGATCTGGCCTTGTAGTGATTTACATTTAGACAAGGGTTACAAGGTCCCATTCTTCTTTGCCTTGTACCTTAGACAGGTATTTATGTCTAGTACTTAAACTAGAAAGCAAAGTGCCAGGCACAGTAGAGGAACAAAGAAGGAAAGATAAAGAAAACTAAAGAAGCTGCTTGTAAAATGCTACTAATTAAATAGGGATTATCACTGTAATGGTATGAAATCAAACTGTTGGCAATTCAAGCCTGGCCATGAACTTCAGTGTCCCACAGACTCCCCTGCAAAATGCCTGCATTACATAATGAGACCCAGAGCACCCCGGGCTGTGTCCCACTCGGGATCCTACCAGGCACAGCAATGGTCCACTCTTCACACTTGAAGGACTTGCTTGGTTTGGAGGGTGCCCCAACCCCCGCCAGGTTAGCAGCAGCCACCTGGAACTGGTACACCATGTTTTCCTTCAGGTTTTCGATCTGCAGGATCAATGAGATGGTACTTATTAACTTTGGATTAGGACTTCAAAAGAAAGTCACAATAATAATTGTTGAAAACATGAGCATGCTTTGAAGTGTGCCTGAAGATGGAAGCATTATTGACATCTTAACATGATAATTATCTTGGCTTTTCCTCTTATCAGTGATGGAGCACACATGAGTGATCTTAGCATACTCAAATTGCAACCCTCTTTTCCTATTGATAGGCACTTTGGTAGGCAGGGAGGAAACGAGGCATTGTTCAACAATCATCTTAGTCTGTCTCGTGGTATGGACCAAGTTCACTTAAGGCAAGAGTTGGCCTCACAGTGGGGTGAAACTCAGTCCTGGCATTGCTTTTCATTTCTAAAGCAGCTCAACGAGGTTGTCTCTAAATTGGGTCAAGAACTGATCACAAAAACCAGCTGGCACAGAGCTGGTTTTAGCACTAGCAAGCACTGGGATATGTCCACCAAACCAGTAGGAATTCCATTTATTGTGAGGGCCTACTTACAAAATATCAGACTATGTCAGTGAATTTACAGATGACAAATGGTTCCAGACTAACAAATAAGTGTACAAACAATTTTGTAGAGAAGTTTAATAAGACTAAATAAATTTACCATCCTGGAATTCAAACCCTCTGAACAGTTATTTGTACACTGAATCATAATTCATCCCAACCCATCTTTGACATTTGATTTGAAAGCACTGCCTGCTCCCCCAGCAACAACTGGACTTAACCTCTTACCCTGTATGCCCTGTCAGCAACAGCCTTAATGTTGGCCTCCTTCCATTTCCCAGGAACTCCATCCACCACTTCCCTATAGTTCAGGTAGTAGCCGGTGATCTCAGTTCCACCAATGGCTTCGGGTTGTTTCCATCCCAGCACCATCGAGTCACGGACGCTCTCGAGCACCACGATGTCGTAGGGTGGGGATGGAGCAGCTGTTGTGGTGTCAATAACACGTGAGTAGGAGGCAGAATCTCAGGCTTGCTTTCACTTACCGTGTTCAGGCGGCTCGTGCCTTGCATTTCCTAATTAGGACAATATTTATGTGCTCAAGGGAAGCTTCTGGAGCTGGAATAAGAAATGCAGGATGAAAGCTTCCACAAACCAAATGCAGAGTCCAAACTGCATAGGAATTAGTTTTTAGGATCTCCTGTTTTTGAAAGGCAGGCTAATACACAGCAAAAGAATGTGTTGCGATTGCAGCTCTGATGCAAGTGATCAGGACTCACTTTACTCTGTGAAAAATGAGGAACTAAAACTAGCATTGCAGGAAAAGAAAAAAAATTGGAGATGCAATGATTTGTTTTGTTTTGTGGAAAGCAAACCCCTTTTCACAACACAATATTCATTGTAGTTTCCTTAAAAAAAAAATAGTCTCACATTCCTTCCTCTCAAGAATTGCCTTTATGTGTTTCTTTTTTTCTTTTAAATTTATATACTGCGCAAATTTTATCATTGCACCCATCATGTGGTCTTACCTTAATGGGAGGCAGAGTGATCATAGGCACTGCAGTATGACCAGAAAAGGAACATGTCTGTTACTGGAACTTACATTAAAAAATATGTGGCATAGTCCTTCTTCTTAGATTTTTCTTAAACAATACAGAAATAATTCACTTCATTCCAAACCGCTTTCTTATATTTCTCCTGTATCTAGAAGGAAAATGCTTGCCCACATCCATTATGTAACATATCAGTGAAAAGCCTTACTTGTGCCCCTGAAGTCATACTTTGGATGGAAAACCCACATCATGTATGTTTCCTTTTGTGTGTAATGTTTTGCATTGGTGTCAGCTAGGCCCAGGTGTCTCACTTCAGAGGCCTAGGGAGGAGTTTTGTTCCCTAGCCAGGTATCAGGAGTCAAACGATATTTAAGCCCCGCATATCTTGGGCAAAATGGGTGTTTAGGCACTGAAATTTAAAACATGATTTTGTGCACATGTCTATACATTCCTCCTTATGTATCACTATTAGTCAGAGATAGAACACAACATTCATTAGCACAATGTGTCAGCAGGTAAGATGTAGCTTAGGCTAAAATCCACAAAGAATCTTCATATTTCCTAACAGAAGACAGAATTTCATGCTTACCATCATAAACAGATTTTGTTTCCTTCCTACATATACAACCCAGAGAACCAGATAACCAGATTCCTAACAAATTACTGAAATGATTTACAAATAATATATCACCTTGGATACATTAATATGCAGTCAAACAAGCCATTAAGTTACTAACCAAATTGATTTGTTTCACTTTCATTAACCACTAAGTTTGTAAAGTGATCTCCAATACCATTACATGAATAATGATCTTAATGGAGAGTTGAGGACAGAATTAATAGGTCTGATAGAAGATGCATCACTGTAGATCACGTCCACTTGTGGCACAGTTGAACAGAAGTTACATCAGTCTGAAGTGGACCAACCAAAGCAGCAAAATTGATTTATTTCATTAATTCTCACCTGTATCTTTCTTCTTTGTAAATTTTTCCACTGTCAAAAGATCCCCTGGTCGAGACTTACTTGCCTGCTTAGCAGCAACTTTTTGTGGCACAGATGTGACAGCGTCCTTAACCACTCCTCTCGTGTTACTGTCTCCTGTACTCCCCAGTTTGCCACAGCTACTGGGCAGTGTCTCTCTATTAAATTTAGCATTGCATTTTAGCAAAGCATCTGTGTCAAAGATAGGCTGGGAGGCCTCATGCATGCCTTCTCAGCTGGTAGTGCGGTCTGTTAGTCCAGCAGCTTTACCACTCAGTTCAGGACACACACCATGAAGCAATCCTCCCCCTATAATTGCCAGAAAACAGCAAAGATATTTGGATTTAGAACACATTCCTTTTTCTTCATTTAGGCAACAGACTTAAGAAATGCATGCAATGAACAATACAGCTGAAGTATGACAAGTCATTGTGTTTATGCACAAAATGTTAAGCTTGAATTTGAGAAAATTTGAAATGCATAGAATACCTCTCAGCCTGTTCATAAATAATGCATTTTTAAATAATATCTGGTATTCAGAGCAGAAAAAAAATTGTAAAGTTAATAGTATTACTTTACTTCAGTTATTTTAGTTTTAGATCTTCCAGGTCACGTTTCTGTTCCTATGAGGATGATCTCACAAAATTGCCCTAGGCCACATGTCTCTGCTCTAAGGTTGAGAGGTATGCAGCTTCAATACAAATGAGAGTGAGGGTGCTGCAGACATACAATTCATTCTAGTCCAGTGATCTCATTAATCTTTATGGATTAGTTCAGGCAGTGGCAAACAGAAACAATCCATCAGCAAAGGGAGAACACACAGGGTTATAGGTTTACAGACAACACATTGCACTATTAGGTTTAGTCATGGAAACAAATTTCTTAGGAACTGACTGTATGGTGTGGATTAGAGGTGATATACCAGATTACAGAATCAGTGACATTCCCATTTTCCAGGATACCTATTAAGTGAACTTGGCAGCGCTCTCATACAGTGATTCAAAAGAAACACCTGAAGAAAACTGGATGGTGAAGGTGAACAGTCTACAAGAGGGCAGTGAGTGTGAAACCATGTCTGTGAGACTATAGGATCTATGGGTAAATTATTATTTGTGGACAACTTTGTGAAACAAAGCAATTAATTAGTCACTAATAATTGCTGAGAACATATTTACTTAATTAATAACCATTGAAAGGGGTAATGGAAAATAACTTACCAATGGCTGCTTTCACCTCTATAGGCTCTGATTCCTGTGAAAATTCACTGAGTCCTGCTGCATTAACAGCTCTGACTCTGAAAATGTACTTCTCACCAGTGCTGAGCCCATGGCAAATGAATCTGAAACAAACCAGTCAAGGAATACTTAGAAAATATTATAGAGAAAAGTTTTAAGGGGGAAAAGAAAGCATTTCTTCCATGATATTTATTCTGGTTTCTAAAAACCAAGGACAAACCATGACCCCAGTTACTAATATGAAGGTCAGAGGATGCAGAATCTGAGCACCTCATTCACAAAACAAAGTCTAAACTCATCTCTTTTAAGATAAGCTATTTCAACACTCTTTCCTTCTTTGAGACTACACCAGTTTCTGTGCTACCACAAGGTCTATCTTACTTCTACCTGTGTATTAAATCTATACTTCCTAGTAGAAAAAATGTCAAAAGCTGCACAGGTAAGGTCTATATTTGCTTCTTGTGGAATATTTTCATGACACAAGTAAAAGACACATGTAGCACAGGTTCCCATAAATTCCTCCAATCATAAATGAAAAATTGCAGAGTTCAAAAAAATTACAGGGCATTGTATAGGAGATAAATTATTTTTGTTCTTCACTTTCTTGCTTCAATACATCACAATAATCCAAGTCAGAGAAATTCTTTTATTTGAAGACATTTACTTGATCATCTAACTCTCACATAAACAAAACACTCATAAATTTTCTCTGGCATCTCTGAAACCACAAAATTTCTGAAGACAGGAATCATTTATTTAGGAATAGACTGTGGTATGGAAATTAATTTTTTTTGTTTAAAACCCCATTTATTTTTCACAGGTATTTTAAGTGTATTTTATTCCATGTTCCTTTGATTTTGTTCTACTTTATAATGTAGTAATAATTGCACTACCAATGCTGATCTCATGAAATGGCATATGAAGCAACTACAATGTGGACAACAAAATCAAAGTTTTACTTTGGAGTAAGGAAAAAAAAAACCTGAATCAAAATTTTCAAAGTGGAATTTTCCCTACCCATTCTATCAGACTTTTCCAAATAATTTGCTTTCACCAGGATGTGTGCAGAATTTCAAAAGATCAAAATATACTGCATGAGGCAGGCTATGAACTACAGAGAATGCTTTAAGATTGGCCTAACCAGAAAAACCAAGAGTTGACAGACAGCCTGTGCCTGCATCATATATCACACTGATTAAAAATGCAGTGATAGAAACCTATGCAGTGTACTTGTATCACAGTATATAGTAACTCAAAGCAATATTTTTATTTCTACAGTGGTGAAAGGTCACATATATTTTAAAACAAGCAGAGAGGACGAAACTTCACCCACTTTCAATATAACTGTGATATAACTCATAGAAATAGATATGAAAGGGTGTAATAATGGCACACATAAATATAAATACAATATAAATGCGCTAAAGAATATAAAGGACATTGTTGTGTCTGTGTTCAATCAAGTGAAGTTTTAGGTACTTTTGATATGCTAAGCATTTACAATGCCCTTCTAAACAGCAAAGCTGGTCCAGGAGTATTTAGCTGAGTTTGACTTACTGTAATAAGGGTTGTCATGGATAGCAAGTACAAAGAAGCAGAATCAGTCATAACAAGCAGGCACTACTTCTGTATTGGCATCAATCCCCTTGAGGAAAAAGTTCTGCACTTACTGTTTCAGACTCTGAAGATTACATACTTATTCAAACAAAACCAAACCTGATTTATCTCAGGAACTAACTCAACTCAGGAAGTTTTAAGTCTTGATTTTTTTTTTCTGACTGGAGACCAAGCTTCATATTGGTAAGAAATGTGGGTTTGTACCCAATATTTAAGAGTGTTAATTAATTTCTTGATGATTACAAGTAAAAGAGCAGTCAGAAAGTAATATTTTTACTGGGATGTTTAGTCCACATGTCCTCCTGACAGTCCAGATACACAGCCCAGAAATGTTTAGAGCAGTCTTCCAAAATAAACCACTTTGCTTCCAAACATTATGCAGCTTAGCTCTCCACATTTGTAACTTCAGACATTCCTCAATGTCCTGCTTTTCATCAAGCTGCTAGGCTACAATAGCTAGAAGTAGCAAGCTGTTTCTCTTTTCTTCATTAGCAATGTCCATATTTCTTCTCTCTTGACTAATTGTTTCTAATATAAGGTTGATTATAATTTCTCTTTGGATAAAACTCACTATACTTTTACAACTTAGGAGCTTCACATGCAAGAGGGATTCCAGCCTGCTGCCTACCACAGAGAGATTAGCTCTACTATTACTAATGGCTGGAAAGCACACATATCCAGTAAATCAGACATTGGTGGCCATAACTTCCATGGTTTGAGGTTAATTACCTTGTGCCTTTCACTGGATTGTTGTTACATGGTTCCCAACGACCAGATCCTTCCACACTTGACTCAATGTAGTACCCAACCAGCTCCTTGGCATCTGGAGGCTCTGTCCAAGTGACAACAACTGAAGTATCTGTATTCCTAGTTGGCATAATTCGGCCAGGAGCTTTGGGAATATCTGTGGGAGAGAAGCAGAAATAAATTAGTGGCCTGCCAGTTAAAACTCATAAATAAAATAAGCATGAAATTCTATTCTTGATTATACTAGCATGACCAGTACAGATTTAATCTTCAAAAAACTGCTCTGATTTAAATTCAGTAATCTGTCAGGACAGGACAAGACAGGATCAGAAGGCTCAAGTCTTTGGTGGTGGGGTTCCTCACTTCTGTATTGCCTAGGATTCAGTGTATTTCCTTAAAATCATGTCTAGTTTATCCCCTTGTGATGAATATCTACACCAGACATGTGATTTGGAGCTTTCTAAAAGAGAAAATGTGCTAGGTGCACATTGAAGATCTTGTGCAGCCCACAGGATAAGCCAGAAACCAAGGCTTCTGTTAAGCAGCAAAGGGTATCTATAGTGTTTTTTAAGAAGACACGTCTTGCTCTCCTTAAAAAATGTATTCCATGGGCATCCTAATGCTCTGAGAAGTCAATATGAAGTGAAAAGAGATCATTTGGAACTGGATTGAAATCCTCATTGCTGTTTGGAAACAAATTGATGATGTAGGTGCAGCTACTGATGACTTTCTGTATTGAACATCTTGGCTTCTCTTCCAGAGAAAATAGTCTCTGCTTTCAATGTAAGTATTAAATTTTTCACTTTTGTTTAATTTGGCAAACAAGGAAGGTTAGACTCTGCTGATGTCTGGGCTTATTTTCAAAAGAGACTCTAAGTAAAACAAAACATTTTTGTACTTCCTTGAGTTTTCATTTTCTTTTGCTATTTGCAGTCTTTGCAGTTCTTGGCATCGTTGTTCGCAGCTTAATTTCCTTGCCTTGCATCTGTCATTTGACTACAGTAAAGGTTGAACAACCCAAACAAAAATTATTTTAGCTAAAGGGAATAAATCACTGACTGCTTTTCATACACTTGAATTATTTTCTGGGCAGCTACCTGCTTGCAGACAAAACAATTACATCACAAACTGGAAAGCTACCATGGAGGTAATTTAATACACTCAACCACAGCTTACCGAGTTTGTCATCCACTACAGTGGCTTCAGTTGCTTCTGAGGGTTCACCAATCCCAGCTGAATTGCAGCAGCGAACTCGGAAGCAGTAGGATTTGCCTTCAGACAAATCAAAAACTGCAAAGCGAGGGGACTTCACAGGGATCTCAGTGTTCACCCTCTGCCAGTCCTCTGTGCCAGCAACACACTGCAGTCAAACCCAGAAACCACGTTTAGAACAGAAGCATCTGAAGGCTGGGCATCTCACACAACAACGCTTTCTCCCTGGACCACCAAATTCATGTCTGCTATGGAGAACAGGGAGACACATCCCTTCTTTGGGGCTTTCCACAGAATGAGCATATTTCAAAGCTGATTAATCTGCCAGATGTTCACTTTCTCCAGAAAACATACACGAAAGTTTACTGGTTTTAATATACCAGAGCTAAACCCTGTCCACTGCAAAGAAGTGATGTTATTAACTGCACCCAGTCTGGATCACTCTCAAAATGAGTTCTGCAGATATTAAGCATCATGCTAAGAGCAAAACCCTAACATTACCTCTTTGCTTCTAGATGCTCTTGTGGCACTCTTGGTGGTTTTGGGGTGTCTTTCAGAATTAATAATGATTTGACCCTCATTTTCCAGAAAAAAAATAATTTTTGCAAATTATTTGTGAATTATTTTTACTTCCGTGGCTAGATCATGATCACTTATACCACTAATATTAGTGATTAATTTTTTGCTTTGATTTACATTAAGTATAATTTCAAGTAAATGGTTCTGGTTTCTGAGGGATTCAAATTCTCATCTGACTATGTGACATTAGTGCTGAGTACTCAGCATGCAATTGATTATTAAAAAGCTTTCTTACAAAATTCATATATTCACCCTCTCCAAGGCTGTTGCTAAGTGAAACTCGTTTATTTAGACCAGATTTTGTATGAGAGATGGAAAACACATAATGGGAAGATATTTATGTCTCCCTTGATGACACCTCTAGACTGATAGGAAAAAACATTGATAAAAAAGTTTATGAGCCAAGAGATGCTAGAAGGAACGGTGATGGTGTGAAGAATTTTCTAGGCTAGCAGCCATGTGAAAACACCTCAGGAAAGCAGGTGAAATTAAAACTGATTCTGAAAAATTAATTAAAAATTAAAACTGAAATTGAAACTGATTTTGTTCAAGTAGATCAGAACAGAAATTTTGTGGTCTTTGCTGAGTTGGTGGAGCAAATGTAACGCTAATGGAGAGGATAAACATGAAAAGGCAGCTGGAATAGAAAGTGCTGATTACAAGAAACTCTTGCAAAATGCTTCCATCCAAAATGTTAACAATCTGTCCTGCCAGACAAGCTTCATTTATACAAATTTTATTTATTTATATATATATAATATATATACACTATCATATGTGTATATAATATATATTTATGATATATATACATAAAAATAAATATGCATTATATATATATAGGCATGTGACTTTGCTCTGTGTTTTCACATTATAGAAGGAGTTTTTTTCTCTCTGCTCCAGGTAGGTCAATGACACAATTCAAGAAGAATATTACTGGGTGTGACACATTCTTAATCTATGTTCCTATTTCCCATTTTTCTTTTATTCCTAGTCTATCTTAATCTATAGTCGACAGTTATCTTGATGAACTTCTTATCCTTGCCCTAATTTGCAAATCTCAGAAATGAGAGTTAACCAAAGGTGCAGAAGAGATGACAAAACAAATGTAAACTACTGTAAACAAATGTAAACATCATAACAGCATGATCCTGATTTTGCCCAATTTTACCTTTTCCACAAAGTACATGATACCCTCATGGCCCCGCTGTCCAGGAGGTTTCCAGCTAAGCACCACATAGTTCTTGGTGGCCTCAATAACTTGGAGGTCTGTGGGGGGACCAGGAACAACACCCTCTGAAGGACAGGGAAGAATAGGAAAGGGAAGTTGGATTTAGTTCTTCTGGTTTTGTCTCAGAATTAGCATCATAACTAAAAATCGGACTATCAATATACCTTAGCACTTAATTTTTTTTAAATGTAAAAATCTTTTAAATATTAAATAAATTTAAAGTCTCTAAAAGTCTTTTAAATATTGTGTTTAAATTTCCTTTTTTTAATTCTAGGCATGATTTTGTTAGGTCCTGAAGAATGAAACTTCACCTCAAAAACAAAGTTGTTGAGTTATTCAAGGTCAAGTGACTCTCAGAACAACAAACTTTGGGTGTGTGCCAAAGTCCACTGAACTCACTCAGAGCTTTCCTAATTACTGAACCAGCTTCACATTAGACATTTGTAGGCAAAAGGGCTGTGTTTACCTGCAGGTTCTTCCTCAGTCACAATAATCTGTCCTGTCCAAGGAGCAGAGGGATGACCTAAAACAAATGCCAGAGATAACACAATGAGAACAATGAGAAAACCGACTCTTTCTTGGTTCAAAACTAACAATTGCAAGATCCCCATGAGCTCCATTTTTGGTTAATGCCGTGGCTGTTGCTCATGTACCAAGCTAGTTACCCAAGCTAGCTTACCAGCTTGAATATTGAGAGCAGCTCAGCATTTAGCATAGCTAGAAAATCCACTGAAACATCTATTCCTTCCTGAAATGTCACTGAAGTCTCCTAGGTGACAAGCAGAGGTATTTGGTTCACTCAGCTCATAATTTTCAGAGAATTAGTTTCAGCTTTATTTTCCATCCTCTATTCCTTTGGTTTAACAGTTCACTTATTAAAGGAACAGCCAGATTCCTGCAGGCTGCATCTTGTCTCTTTTTTAACCACTTTCTCTCATATTACCAGCTTGTAAATCATGGATCACAGTCACAAACAGTAACAGCTCAGCCTGACTCAGCATGTCCACTTGATAAATTTGGGTGTCTCTCTGAGCAGCCAATATGTTATCACACTATTGCAGTTATGCAGCTCTCAACCAGGTCAGTGCACTTTCAGAGATAATTTTTGCAGACACTGTTCTCTGCCTCCACGTTGTTCACCTTACATTGGCTGATCTGATTTGGAGATGAAAGAAGAGAAGAAGCAGGTGGGGAGAAAAATTATGAGGGATGAGAGGAGAAGATACAGCAGGAATAGGCCACCAAACCCAGACTTCATCTGCTGTGACAGCTTCCATGCTGCCCATTGAGAAGAAGAGCCCCCTCTGCCCTCCCCAGGCAGGGTTTCACATGTCTGCCTGAGTGCAATGTTTCCTGGCAGTGCCAAGTCTCTTTCCTCTGGCCTTTTGTTTTATCTTGGATGGAAACCTAGATCATCTGGCTGCAGCACTACACAGAGTAGCTCATACAAGCTATGGGAGCACTCTAGCTTTGTGTACAATGCTACCTTCACATTGGACCATTTTAAATTGCAAAACTTCAGAAACATGTAGAAATAGATTTTGAATAGAAGTAGAAATTCATTTTAGGCATATGATTGTGCCATATGCATAGATGGCTGTGTTTGGAAGGAAAATGTCTGAGACATTGTGAGGCCACAGGAGAAATATCCTTGACTTGTAAAGCTAACCTTGAAGCAGAGAGCCTGGAATCTGTTGGGCTTTCCTGGTGTCATTCTGATGTTATTGCAAGACTTGGATTGTCACACAAGAACAGCACTGGCCACCCTTGTCTGGGGCTCAGAGAGAGACTATTCACAGGATCTGTTCAGCTGTTTTGTTGGCTAAACAAAAGCAAGTCTTTAGGCAATTAAACTCTCCTGTGCCTTTCCCCGCCCCTTCCTGCAAGTTTGGAGCATAGCACTGCAGTCAGCCAAAGTCATTTCAGCAGATAGAACACTTAGTGCAAAAAGCACTGAGATGATTTCTTCTTGGCAAAGCTGGCTCCAAAGGATATTTTGGCTTTGCATTGCTCCCTCTGGTGGGACTTTGAAGGCTTATGAGTTGATAGTCTTAATTTATTTTTTTTAATGAGTTGAGACTTCTTAAACCTCTCATGCAACCTGTAAAAAGCACATCTTACTTCTAAGCCTGGCTCTGTCAGCAGGATCCAGAGCAGCCACAGGCTCTGACACCCGGGACGGCAGGCTGACTCCAGCCTTGTTCACAGCTCGGACTCGGAAAATATAGGAACGGCCTTCGATCAGACCAGTGACAGGAAAACGAGCAAACTTCACGGGATTCTCATTGCACTGGGTCCAGTGGGAGGTGCCAACCTCACACCTGAAAAACACAGACAACAAGAGCACTGCTGGGAAGGGAAGGACATGAACTCAGGGCTCCCCCATGACTTTGCAGCTTCACCATCTGTTCTTGCTCATTGCCTGGTCCGTACCAGCTCCTCAGCAGAATTATTTACTGGTGACATCAAAGCAGCTGCACCAGGGCATCAGGCTGAAACACCAGCTGGGCATGCACTAAATCCCTCACAGCTGCACCCCTTCTTTCCTGAACTGAAAAAGGGATAAGAGCAGACTCACTTCTCTGTTTAAACCCTCCAAAGTATGCTTAGGGAGTGTCAGCTTTGGCTCACATGCAGGGACAGGAAATGTGCATCCCTTGCAGCTGCCAGAAGGACACTGCTTCATCCTCCCTGCACAATGCTGCACTGTACATCCCACAAGATGCTGGGCTTCATGGGGTGCAGAGACCCCCACTGTGAGTTCTGGGACCAGCCCAGCACTGAGATAGCTGTGAATGGGGTTAAAGTGGGGCACTCAGTCAGGCCCTGCTGCAGAGACCAGACCACTGGGGCTGCCAAGGGAGTGTGCTGGCTACAGACCCTACAGTGACAGGACCCAGTGTCGTGCTGCTGGTCCCACACCTGTGAAGCCTCACACACATCAGGAAGATGGTTTATGGCAGAAGGAAGATATGAGAGTAGCCACTTCACTGAGGGGGGCAGGAGAAGCCTGTGGTGATGGCTTCCCTGTATCCAGCAACATGGTCAACAGAAACATGACCTTTCAGCTTGGAAGAGACTATCTGGTAAGATATCTGCCAAAGAGAAGGGTACAGCTCCTACCCAGATTTCTTGGTACATACAAGAATCTCTCCTGAGAATTGTTACCATCCCACTCAGGGTAGTTTTGTGGTTCTTATGTCTGCTTGGAGTGAGGGATGCCCAAGCTTTGCTTCTACCATCAGCAGACCAGTCCTGCTGGCTCATCCACAAGGCAGTTAGGGGCTACCCTGCCTGAATATCTGGGTCCTTAAATACCTTTAGTGGGATCCAACACTGGACAGAAGTAACACAACTTTGGATTTGGGAGCAAATGCAGAATAAACAAGGTGAGCACAACAGAAAAAGCAAAATGCCATTTCTCTTGCACTTACTCTCAGTGCTAACATCCCTCAATAGCCTAGTTTTAAAATGAGATATTATTGTTCAGAATCTAGTCCTGGTTTTTGTTTAGAATTTTTCAAAGAATGTTTAAGAGCCATAGCTTAGATCTAGCACAACATTTTTACAGCAGTGACGGGCACTCAAAAATTATCAAAACAGTAAAGTTATATGTGAATGTTAAATGCATTTCACAGAGCAATTCCCTCTTTTTACTGAGATATACTTTATGTATATATATATATAAAAATGTTTGAGTGTTTTTTATATGCATTTGAATAAGCCCAGAGGAACCTCATATGAGGGACTCTATTACTGAAATTCAAACAAATATTACCAGCACTGAAATTCACTGCAGGTCTCAAAATACTGACCTAATTTCTAAAATCACAGGCTTCTAGGATCCTGCCACCTCCATGTGTAACATGTGGGGGCTTCATATTTTTAAAAATAATTTCCATGAAGCTTGTGAATCTAAGAGCTGGAATAACAACAGCATTTGGGAAAGAAATCCAAGTCCCTTTGAGATAATATTTTGCTTTCTGGTGCATAGTAACTATTAGGAGAAAGGCAAGAGAGCCCTGGTACTGCAGGATCCACAGCTGCCTGATGCAGAAGAACTACCCAACACTACAAAATCCTGAAGCCTCTCATTCCTCAGAGGAAGAAGTGAAGGCTGAGCTGTGCAGATCTGGCAAAATCCTTTCTATGCAATTAAATGAAGCAAGATGTGATTATTTCCAAGAAAGTTAGATCAGGGCCAGCCAATGAAAACAAAAAAAAATCAGTTTTTTTCTGGCCAGCAATAAGAATGAAAATAATAAACTACTTGTTTTAACTCATGTTTTTCAATGTGCATTTAGTTTTTTGAGTTGGAATGAGCAGCAATATGAATTCTCCAGTCCAGCACAGCCACTGACCTGTCAATGAAATATCCAAGGATGGGGTTTCCTCCATCGACAGCAGGTTGCTTCCAGGAGACAATGACATAATCTTTGTTGGCATCTAGGCACTGCACATCTAGTGGTGCACCAGGGGCTCCAGGGATTTCAGCATCAGCATCTATGATGATGGAGAAATATGTTTGCAAATGTGAACCACAGTTCTTTCACAATTATTAATCTTTAAGGATTAAATTGTGTTCCCAATGACTTTTAAAAAATATTTTCTTTTATATTGCAAGTGTTTTTCTAGGTTTTGGCTTCCCTTTGTAACATTTACAAATGTTACAGCATACTACAAATGTAATTCACCTAGACATTTTAAATCAAATTAGTACCATGTATTCTGATTAGGGAGCTGCAAGAGACACTGTTGAACTAAAAACTTGGCAGCCAGGTAATAGCTGAATTAAAAGTATTCATGCATTGGATATAACAATACTGAATTAAATATCTCCACTAATAGTCCTTCATTGTTTGATTTTGGTTGGCTGTGAAGAGCAAAGGTACCAAAACCTTTTGAAGTTTAATTATATTGCACATACGTTATCACTGTGGAATAGAATCTTCATAAGGATAAGTGTATTGTTCCTTTCAAGTGTTTACCACAAATCTGGGACTGCTGGTGTCACAGGGCCTTGACTCCTGCATCAGCTTCTGAACATGTCTTATCTGAAGCTTTGAAAAATAGAGCACAATGCTGGGCACTGGGGAATTTTTACTGTTTACAAAGAGTCTGATTTGTGAGACGGTGCAATCTTCATGTAGAGAAAAATAACCTTTGCAGCAAGATTCTGAGAAAGACTTTCAAATAAGAGATGTTGTTTCTCTGCAGAATAACATCAGTTTGTACATTTGAGAGCTACTTCAAAAGAAGACCTAAGAGTTATATACCTGAATAAAAAATTTTGCTAATAAATACTATTCATACAATCCATATAAATCTGAGTTCTCAAAAAGGTTTAATGTTTCAAGGCATTACAGGTCTTTGGTTTACAGTATACAGTAATCCAGATTTTTTATGATTTTGACTTTTATGAAAAAATGCCTTATTAGAGAATTTAATATTATTCATTAAGTAAAACACCAGTCTTCCTAAAAAAAAGAAAATCTCAGAAACATTTTGCAAAGTCTTCTCTTATAGGCAGAGTAAAATCACATGGAGCTTTTGAAGCTGTGCCAAAGTTGCTGTGTCCAGGTTCTAATTACAGATAACTTGATGCATTTTTTAAAATGGTGACATACAGACTAAACCATCCAGTTAACATCACAGAATACTAAGAACATTAATAGCAATAGCAAAATGTCTTCAGTGACCTCTTTATGACATGTTTTAATTGCCTGTATTTACCGCTGGACAGAATGTGAGACAACAGTTTCTTTCCAAGACAGACTGGGAAGCAGCTGGGAGAACCAGCACTGCTGATCAGCCTCTAGGAGGCTAGGATTTCATCCCTCATGGCTTGCTGACAAATGATGACCTGCAGCCATGGCAGAGGAGCCACACATGCTCTGGAAGCCCATCTGAACGTGTAACATTATGAGCCTCCCTTCCATTGATACGCTGATTTCTCTGTGTGACACAAAAAGACAACTGCTCCAGCTTAAATACCAGAGCTGCCATTTAAATGAAAGTTGGCAATGAGGAATGCAGTAGCCAACCAAGATTGTGGGGACCATCTAAACAGGAATGCAGAATATAATGAATGTAGATAGAATTTGGTAAACACACCCATTGGCTAGGAAGATAGTCTGCTGAAAGGGGTAGTGGGTTCAGTCAGGTCACACCTGTGTTACCAGAAGATATAATAGGATTGAGGGTGATCATTTATTTATATGGCAGCACAATGTAAAACAAATAAAGAAGGACAAGTCCTATTTCTTGTCACAGAAGCTCATTTCAATAGGCTCTTCCTTCAGGTGATCAAATTGTCTGCTTCAGTTGTATTTTCTGGGCAGGTTGTCATCTCACACAGTTCTGCTGGACTTGGCAACAAGGAGCCATTCTGGGCATGGTCTCAGAGCCAAGAATTTCCAGAGCCTTTTGAATTAGCATTACACACTTCAGCTGCTTTTAGCAGCTGGGACAGATATAGAATCAGCACACAACATGATAGTCATGGCTCCTTTTAAAGAAATTATTCTCAATGGATACTCAATGAAGTTTTTGATTGGTGCAAGCAAACAACATTCACAAAAATTACATTTTAATTCTACTCTTCACTGCATTACTTCAGAGAATCACACAGTGGTTGAGATTGGCAGACAGGTCCAGGTACTGTCTAATTGAGCCCCTGGCTCAAAGCAGTGTCAGCCAGAGCTGGTTGCCTAGGGCCATGTCAAATCAGGTTTTGGGTGTCTTCAAGGATCAGGACTGCACAGCTTGTCTGGGTAACCTGTTCCAGTGTCTTTACTCCCCTCCATCAGGTACACATGGATAAACTCCTCTCATGATCCCTCTTTTCCAGGCTGAACAGTCACAGCTTTCTCAGCCTTTCCTCATAGGAAAGATGCTCCAAGCCATAAATCACCTTCACATCCCTTCAGTGGCCTCACTTCAGGGAGCCCATGTCTCTTTTGTATGGGGGATCTCAGAACTGCATCTAGCATCCTAGATGAGCCCCACCAGTGCTGAGCAGATGGCAAGGATCCCCTCCTCAGCCTGCTGGCAATGCTTTTCCTAATGCAACCCAGGATGCCACTGTCTTTGTGACAAGGGCACATGTTCACCCTGGTCCACCAGGATCCTTCCTGAAAAGCACCTCTGCAGACAGACACCAGCCTATTCTGCTGCATGAGATTGTGCTTCTGCAGCTGCAGATCTTTGCATGTCCATTCCACTGTATTTTTTCCTGCAGTATGCATTAGAGAGAACCCCTCCAACTGAGCAGAAAATCTTGATAAAAATAGTGCAGTTTAGCTGGCAGTGGGGGATGGTTACAAAAAATCATTTGTAAATTATTATGTGCATTTTTCCTCCTTATGACTGATGTTCAGCACTCTGAACATAGCACCCTAAATTTCCTCCTCAGAATGTCAATGGAGTTTAGAAGTCTTCAGGCAGATGACACCAAAGCCTGACACATGCATGGATTTTTTTCCAGAGATAACGACTGGAATGTAAATTGCTAGAATCTATCAATAGGAAATAATTATTCTATTGTGATGAGGGGTGAGAAGGGGCAGAGGGGAAAGTACCTCAAATATCTGATTTTGCCAACATGTTTTCCTCAGCTCTGTAGTGGGTTCTGTGCACAAGAGAGTGTCTTACCTCGAACAAAGACATAACCACTGTACTCTTCATAGTACTCTCCCATCGCCACTCGGAGCGTGTACAGACCCTCATCTTCCTTGTTTGCATGAGTCAGCGTCAGAGAAGCTCGCTCCCCACTCCACTGCATCTGGACCCATTTGGATGGTGTAATAAGAACACCTAGGAATCAGAGAACTTCATAATGAGCACCAGCAGGATCTACTGAGCAACAGATTCTGAATACAGAGAACATATTGGGATAGATTGGAAATACGAAGGAGACCACTCCTATTACACAACATTCTGTCCTTGAAAACAGTCATAAATAACATCTAATTCTGCCCTTATGACAACTTTGTCTTTGATTTCAAAGCATTACTTCAGAAAGCAATAGTTTTTTATATTTTATCTGCTGTTACAGAACACTGTGCAGCTACATAAAAAAAATATCTTGGCTTATAAACAAATAAATAGTAAAAGCTATATGAGCTCTAAAAATAGGCCACATAGATGTTGGCTCTGATAAAAATGCTTCCAATTTAGATTTTTTTAAGAAATAAAAAATCCCTAGAAGACATTTTCACAGTGATTTGTTAGTTTTCTGTGGTTTCACATCAAAATGCTAAATTATGAAACAATTCTAGTTGAAAAAGAGAAAATATTATCATTGGAAAACCTGAGAAAGTGATGACCAAATCATAACATTGACACAAGACGAAATAAGTAAAGATTTACATGAAAGAAGTTTCTATTTCTTCTTGTCAAACATTCTCACCATTTCTGTACCACTCAATGTCTGGTTTGAAGCGCTTGATATCAGGATTGATGACAACTGTGCAGCCCAGACTCATTGTTTCGCCTTCTCTCCCAAAGGCTACATCAAACTTGTCGACAAAGCTGATTTCAAACCTGGAAGCATAGCCATGAGGGGTAACAGCAACTGTACAAGAGAAAAAAAAGTATCTGGTTTTCTTTCCTTCTGTGACAAGAGTAGGAAGAAAAATTACTCAGTGATTATGAATACAGTCACAGGAAAAGTTCAAGGTATAAATAGGAACAATATGTATATTAAGTCATCATCTTCAGAGGCAATTGCAGCATTGGATAATCCAAGTTCTTTCTATCACAGAGAATCGACTATTTCTTCATTTGTACAGTTCTAGTTCACACAGCTATTTCATTTTAGCAGGGAGAGGCTTCTGTAGAATTTAATTTCAGAATTTTCAAAATTTCTAATCCGGTGTTTAATGGTAAGGTTTGTTTTATAACTTAAAAATATTTCTATTTGTGATCAATTATTTGTTCAGGTCAAATTGATCTTTAGCTTTATGGTTCTTCTCTTTCCCCATTTTAACTCCTTGCATTCACGTGTTCACTCAGCTTTTGTTTTTGTAAGCTAATAAGCTTTTGTGGGGGCTACTGCAAACATAAAAGGGCAGCCCTTCTTTCTTGTTTCTATTCTTGTTCCTGAATTTATCTTTTTGGATGCTGTGTGTCCTGAGTGGTGCAGTTTTTCAGACAGAACATCCTAAGAGCCTTTCACTTGTACTGTACATACACGACAGAGGTGCTTCCATGTTTGTTTTGAAAACAGCTCAGCTGATAAAAAATAAGGTCACACTTTACTTTTACTCAACTAGCCTACACTGATAACTTTCCCTCTTCCTGTGATCAGTGAATATATGCAAATTGTGATCTTTCTTTCCCATAAAGAAGTGAGAGATCCCAAATTTTATTTGAAATATGTGGAAGTCTCATCTGTCAAACATTTCATGGGATTCCTAGGGCACCTTACCCATATGGCATATGTGGGTGGATTGTCTTATCATCATGAAATCATGGATGCCATATTGTTAAAATGTGAGGTTCTCAGGTAAAACAAACTACAGTTTTTACCTTGATACATCCCAAAATAGTCTAATTGGGTTCTGGATATTTAATCTTTTCTATGCATTTTCTGTTAATTTTCATAGCTTATGAAACCACATAAGCAGCAGATAATTAAGCCTACCTACTCTGTGTAGGCACATGCTTCCTCATGCCATGTTTTACATATTGCAAAAGAAGAAGTGGTTCTCTTTTTGATAGATTCTACTTCATGGTGAAGTGCAATTTCAACAGGATATTTCTTATATAATCCAACAGACCTAGAAGGCAATGCCATTTCCCCCCACTTATGAGGCTAACACCATCCCAAATTGTAGAGCTCCTTGTAAATCAGACCTGCTTCTTTTTAAAATAATATTACTAAGTATTCTGCTTAGTCATGATGTCACAACTATAAATGGAAGTGTCAAAGAAACATATTGTGACTTACATGGAGAGAGGGAAAGATTTCTACCATGCAAAAGACTTGCATCAATTTCTCCTTTGTACCCTACACAGAAAAAGACAAAATGGTCACTACCACCAAGAGGTAAAGGCTCTGTGAGCCACAAAACCAAAACTGGCAATGTGCATCTTAATAAAAAAAAAACCTTAAAGGAAATATTTTGCAACCTACTCTTTACCACGAGGGAAGCATAAACTGAAACTTCTCCTTTAACATTCATAGCAGAGGCATGATATTGGGCAGTGTCATCAAATTCACATCTGAAAAGATAAAAATGATTAGGCAGAGCATGCAATCGCTCCTTGGCATAGCCTCTCTGGAGTTTTAGATTAAGAAAACCCTCAGAAATCTGGGTAAAATCTATAAAATAAAAGCTTGGGAGACAGACACACTAGACACTGGATTGATTGTAGCCAATAGGTTTTTCTCAATGTTGAACCCCAGTGTTTGAAATAAATGTCTCTTTTCTTTATTCTCAATTTGAAATTGAGAATACAGCATAAGTAGGAAAAATTATCTGATAATATTCATTGTTAATTTACTGTCCTCTATTAAGAGATGCCTAATATGGAACTTGTAGGAATTGTAGGTTTCATAAAATATTTTCAAAGGGCACCTTCCATTAAAAAAATTGTCAAATCCAGGTTGTTGTTGATTAGGACTTATGTTTTCAATATTCTTAATGCAAAGTGAATGCAAAAATTTCCCACTTGGAAGATGAGTACTGTTAAAGATCTTTCTTGTATAAAAGTGAGGACATCTCAGTTCTGTTCCTCATTTCAGTAAGAATTGTGAACTTTGCTATATTTGAAAAATAGTTAATTCACATATTTTTACATGTTTAATTGTACTCATCAAGCAGACAGATGGAAAAAGTAATCATAGATGTCCCACTTTTCTGACTCTGCCATAAACAGAATATCCAGATAAATAATCTATATAAATAACTCAGGTAAATTGCATGTCCTCTACTGAGGTAAACCACAACTGCTTCAACATTTAGAAGACAGCATTCACCACAGTAGATATCTCTGATATTACCTGACTTGATATCTCTTACATCCCCAAGAGGTATGTTCACATTTTGCAGCTCTCATTCTATAGCAACATTTCAGGTAAAGTTGTTTGTTAAATTATTTAATATTTCCTTACTCTGTAATCTCCAGGGAGTGCAGCCCATACCGACTTTGAATGATATACTTGCCAGGGTGAGCCTGTACATCAATGGGCACATTATTCTTGTACCTATGGAAAAGCAAAGAAGCACTATGTCACAGAGACAAGTCATTTTATACTTTAAAAGGTCAACTGCTTGGTATTTAAAGTAGAACATCAGTAGAGCATCATCATTTCTCCTTGATAAACTGTAGTCTAATTCCCTGGGAAGACATGACATATCTTTGGAAGTGTAACCTTTCTCTCTTTTTCTTTGACCTGCCCAAGGTAGATTTTATTCTCAAGTTAAAAGAAGAAAATAGTCTTGAGTGGGATGAAAATCAGCTCATATTACCATGAACTTCATGTTGCCACTTGTAAAAGAAAGGAGGAGTTACATGAGCAACATCTTAGAGTTTTGTAAATGGCAAATAATTTTGTAGCCTCCTTACTTACTTCCTCTCATAAATATTTTGTTTGGTTTGCATGTTTGACCTACTTTTAAAACCTCTATATACACAAAAAATGTCAGGTAGAAAGTTAACTTTTTTGTTTACTTCCAACTCAACAGGGTTAGACTGGAATAAACTAGGAGTGTTTTCTGGCACAGGTCTTTCTTTGGGTAGGAAAGGTTTACTGTTCAAAATTCCCAGTTGTCCCAGTTTGAAGGAATGAATGAACCAGTGCTTATCATTGGTGAGCTGGTACTGCTAATTTCAGAATTTATGCAAACACCTTGAGACTCATAGTGGAAGAACAGTGGTGCATGATAAATTCTTTCTCTTCAATTGCTGCATACAATGTCACTCATTCTGGATAATACACAGTCTAACCAAGTAAATGTTTGTCTGAATCCTCTCTAAAGCAGGCACTGGAAATATGGAAAAAGCTGGCAATATAAGTCTAATAAATAAATTGCACTCTGAATTGTATTCAGTACATTTGGCACTGATTTGAGGTCCATAAAGAAAATATGCTTCCCAAGAGAGTGTCATACTTTGCATAGCTTTCTCTCTTCTTCATAAGGTGTATTATATAAACAAAATGAAATTATAAAGGATGATAGATAAAAGCATCTTTTACTCTGATGTAGCTTAAATAAATCTTTATTCTCACAACAGATAGCCAGACAAAAATGTTTGCTTTTTCATTTCAGATTTTATATTTTAAACCTTTCATGATTTTTAGTCAGGAAAGGGAACTGGTCTGGTGTCAGTGGCTTGCCCCACTTCACCAAACAAATCAGTAATTAACAATTATATTTTCACCAAGAATATTATCAGTTGAATATGTCTCAAGATGAAGCTATATCCACAATAAGTCTGAAAACTGTCTTTCAGCACCATCAGTGTTGTACAATAAAGAATATTTCCCTGACTACAAATATTTGGGCATAGTAATACACTGAGAGTTTTCCAAGTGCTTAAGTGAGTAAGGACCATAAACCCTAATGCTTTTTATCCTCATCTTCCTCTCAACAAAATGTCTATGGAAAGGGACACAGTGCAGGGCAGTACTCTCTATTCTGCACATCAATCATTTGCAGAGATGTCTGACCTCATTACTCTATTATCCTGGCTTAGGCAATGAATAATACATGAACCCAGCAAGAGTAATACATTCCCCACCACTCTTCACCTCATCTGTGAGCTGGTGCCCCCCAGACTGAACTGCCTGGGAACATCAGGGCATCTTTATATTACTTCTAGTGTGTAAAATATTTTAGAAAATAGAATAATGCCATCAGTTCTTAATATTTTCCAGGGCATATGAAACTGTGTAAAGAGGACTTAGCTCCACAGTATCCTTATATTTTCTCCAAAGGGCTGGGCAACTCTTGGATCCTGTGGCAGCCAAATTGTTTGGGGTAGCATGGGGTGCTGTGCAGAAACAACCTTTAACTGGGTCATGCCAAGAAGACTTTCACTTCTTTTGTCTTCATTATCAGGTTAGTAAAAAGTAATTGATTCAATTTTTGTTTATTTATATTCAACTACAGAAAGAATAGGACTCCTGTTAGAAGGACCACTTGTTATTTCTGGAAATGCAAATTCCAGAGCAGCCAAGTCATTAGCTAATGTGGGACTGCAACCTCTCACTGTCATTAGGCACTGATAATTTATGCTTTCTGCTACTGGTTTCAAATGTCCTGGGTTTTCCATATGCTTTTTTTTCCAGGGGAGTCAGAGCAGCTGCATCAGGCAGGTTTTCTTTAGAGTAAGTCCATAAAGCTTTAAAGTTTTCCAGGCACAGCATGAAAAGGTCTTCATTGCTTATAGAAAGAATGACTGTTTGCAGTATTCTACTGACATTTTGTTAGAAAGGCTGAATGAAAGCTGACAGATCCAGGTCAGCACTGTTCTATATCTTACAGCAAAGACACCAGCTGAAAAGGATGTGATCTCTTTTTCTTTTTTTTATTTTCCATGAGTAGCCTGTGGCAAAATGAAATCCCTTTGGAATTCAGATGTACAGTAAAATGATGTATCAACTTCCACCATCCACATTTAGCACTTAGATGAAAGGCTGGTTCACAGCCAGAGCAAAGACAGACAGCTGAAGGCTCAGTTTAACCATGTCAGGTTTTGGGGATAAGGTGAATCTCAACCAAAGTGAAAATGACCCAGCTCTTGAATTCTTGGGTAGGATTCAGGTTACAGAGCTGGGTTACAGCCATGAGCATAGCTGACCATTGCTTATATCCAGCTGAGACCAGAGCTGAAGGGCTTGTCTGGAATCCTCTCCAGGTGGAATGTGAACACAGGGCACTTGTAACTATCACAGGATGGGAAAAGTGTGCCTGTGCAGAGCCTGGCTGTCAGAGTCCCAGGAGAGAGATCAGTGACTTTGTGGACTCAGCTCTGGCCTATTAACATACCTCTTAATAGCAATTTTTAAAAAGCCCTGAGATTAAGGGTTTTAAGACCTAAATAAATGTAGAGTCCCTTACACAATTCAAGTAGCAAGTTGCAAGATATGATTATTACATAACATTATTATATAGTAGATGTTTCCCTTCCAACTCAGCATATCCTGTGATTCTGTACAATCTTCCAATACTTCCAAAGTTTTCATTTTATTTGGATGGTTCCAGATCTACCTGAAGTCACTGACTCCAAACACTGACAATGTGTCTGCTATGAACACATCATCATTACTGATATTTCACAGCATCATCAGGGGATTTCTATTTCATGGAGATTCAGCACTATAACTGCTCAGCTGCCAAAAAGTTTGCCCTTAACCAAAGCCAGCTTTAATGCTTCAGGGACGTTAGTGTCATTTGTAGAACTAAACTCAAGTATTTGGAAAACATTATCAAAGATATTATGATAAACTAAACTGCTATTTTTCCCTAATCATCAACAGAAGGAATATATTTGATGTCTTTACCAAATAAAAAAAAAGTCTATTTATTCCTTGTGCTGTTACACAAATATTTTAAATATTATCCTATTAGTTAATTTACTATAATAATTATGTAATTATTTGTGTTGTTATTATTATTACTTCATTTTAATATTTTGCTCTTTTTCTGTACAATGTGACTTGAAAGGTGTTTGACAAGCCTGTCATCAGTACCTGATTTTTTTTTAAATTTAACTTATATCTTTTCAGAAAAATGACTACATTTACTGAGATAACTTCAGATTCTGGTTAAGTGGTGACTTTCAGTGCCAGGTACAAAATCTTACCATGTAACACGAGGTTCTGGCCAGCCAGCCACAGAACAATTAAATCTCACATTTTCCTTTTCCCAGATGGTGTGGGAACGGGGCTCAATGATAAACTCAGGAGCATGTAAGAGTTTATCTTGATTCAACTTTCTATGGAATGCCTGAGTCTCTTCTAGCTGGAAAAGAAACATTTTATTATACACTTGATTAGAGCAGCAGTTAGAAGTGCAAATTATTAATACCAAACCAAACAAAAAAAAAAACCCAAAAAAACAAAACAAAACAAAAAAAAAAAAAAAAACCAAAAAAAAAGAAAAAAAAAAGAAAAAAAAGAAAAAAAGGCAAAAAAAACCCCTGCAATTTTTATTTAAGCATTCAAACACACTTAATGTGTTTATCTCACCTGGACACAGAAAATAAAGTTTTCATTTTCCAGAAGTTCTCCTTTCAAAATAACTAGATTTGATTTTAAAGGGTTTTTCCTCTCAAAACTATTCTAACTAAAATAATATTCCACATTTAATTACTTATTATTTTAAATAGACTGGAAGGTGAAATAGGCCTGAAACTCAGATGTCTTCTGTACTTGTGCTGTAATGCACAAGATCTAGGCTCTAAAGGCTAGATCAAGGACCCTAGGCTCTAGACGTAAAGATCTAGGCTCTCTATGCCTAGATCATCTCTGACAGAACTACTTCCAAACCTTTCCTCCTGACAGGATCTTTCATCCTGCTAAGCTAACTGGTTCAACTGCTTGACTATCCACAGAGCTGGAAAAAACTCCTAATATGGTATAAATCTTGCTTTCTGCAAAAATAATTATTTCTTTTCTGCCCTAACTTTCAAATATATGGAGAATTCCAGGTCCCTGTATTCAGATTATTAAAAGAGGACTTTTATAAACAGGGCAATACCAATTTTCCTTACAATGGTTTCTCAGTACTGTACAGGTTCAAGAGATTTCCATTGAAAATACTTGGGTTAATTACTACCATTATTGTGATTGCCCATGGATTAAATCAGAGCACTGGTGTGCTAGGCACTTTACAAACACCGAACAAAAAATGGACTAATTTTCTTTTCCAGCTTAAGTATTAATTTCTAATCTTTTACCGTTTTCTTCATGGCCACACGTTCAGCAGACTCCCGGATCGCCACTTTCCTTGACTTTTTTTCATGATGTTCCTCTTCAGAAGTTGTCTTGGCCACCTTGCTGACACTAACTCCTTCCCCTGTGGCAAAAAGGTTCCTCTTGGCAACATATGCAGCACTTTCTTTAATTCTCTCTTCTTCAGTGTCTGTAATACCACTGATATTCACTTGTCTGAAAGAATTTTTAGAAAGCAGAGTCCCATTGGAAAATGCTGAGACCATGTTCCATTTCTACTTGCTACCAAATCAGCCACTACGGTGGCCTTCTGCTACAACACTCTCATATGTATTCAAAGCAGAAACATGGAAGGGATTCTGCAGAAAGACTGAATATTTTACTGTCCAAAGTCATGGCCATGTTCAGGGCCTCTCCCTCTAAATATGCCATACACATTTTCAGTTTAAACATTATCCTGCTGTGGCTTTTTATCTCCATCACTATAAAGAAGAGTGTAAGGCATAACCACAGATATTCAAGGTATTAACTTACAGGTGCAGTGTTTGTAACAGCACTGCCTAAGGGGAAAGAGATAATTGTAGCTGTATAACAATCAATATCCTCATTCATGAATTGTTAAAAACCCCCCATCCCACCCTATATAACTGTGAACGAAAAGGTTCTCTTTGTTCACAGAAAATTCCATCCTATATTGATATATATGCTGTATAATTTATATATGCTGTATAAATTCCATTCTATATTATCTTTCAGGAAGATAACCATGGATTTTCTTGCAGCCTCCTCTTCAGGCTCTGTACAGAGGTGAAACACAAAGAGCTCCCAGTGGGTGCAATCCTGTTTCCACACTCACATGTGGATGTACTTTTGAAACCATATTGGTCTGGCACTGCCAGGACATTACAGCTGCTGTAGTGGTGCATGCACAATGAGAGTTCCTTGACTTAAGAAGAAGCATCAATATCCTCCTGCTAAATTTAGTTACTTTAAGGGAACATTAGATAGCACACTGAAAACAAACTCTGTTTAAGTTCTCATTAAGTGTCATCTTGCAAGCACTATAGAAACATCACCTATCACCTCTGTTTCTAGAGTGCACTCAAGCATAGCCTCTCTTTTATCATGAAACACTACTACAAAGCAAAAAAGAGAAGGAAGAATTTTTTAAGATAGCCAATATTATGCATCTGACAGCACATCTCAATACTAAAAAAAAAATTGAATTTAAGCTCAGAATTAAGTGTCCAGCCCCTTACATATGAAGTCAATTGCATGAGATGCAAGACAGTCAAGCAGTGGAATGCTGTCAACTTAATTACATTAAACAACTGCTGAAAGGACGAAAAATCTTACTTAACAGCATAGAGCTTTGACCACCCTCAAACTCAGCTTGCTCTGTTTTAGTTGCTTTAAGAGGGTGATCCATAAGAAATCAGTGGAATGACAGATGCCCTCCACTTAGACCATCAGTTGTCCCCACAAATATGACCTGAAGCTGCAGATATATGGAAGAGATTTTTTAAAACAATTTTGAAAAAATCAGTATAATGAATATGAATATAGCTTCCTACATTCATTTTAAATTAATACATGGCACTTTTCTTCAAAGGCAAACTGATACTATTCCCTCTTTAATTACATTAGTTAAGATCTCAGCAACTTCACAGTGTGGACTGGTTCCTCAAGACATTAAGCATCTTTTGGGAGCTGATGAATATCCTCTGACTAAAATAGAACTCATCCTAGTCATCTGCAGTTGTAATCCCCAGATGCTTTTGATCAACAGTATTAAATATTTAGCTTTTCTAATAATTTCTCCATGTTATAATCTTCCCAGATCAAAGAGAAACATGACAAATGACAAATGCACGAAACCAGCGAACTGTACCATTTAAGAGCAGATTTTACAGTCAAGTCTTAAGGGTTTCAGTCGAAAATAATTTTCAAACAGATCCAACCAAATGGCACAGGCAAAATATAATTTTAAGGGCATCTGCCATCTACATTCCTTTGGCATAGGCTTATTAGTGATTGCAAATAGTTCATGAGCCACATTGAGCAACTTCAGCACTTCTGGCATTACATCAAGCTCTGGGTATTTTACTGTCTAAAATACTGTCTGCCTGTCCACAATTTTCTCTTGCAAGGATTAGCCCAGGTGTTTAAAAGGTGTTTGAAAGGATCAGTCGCTAAGAATCAGTTGAATCTGAGCAAATTATTTTTTTCTACAGCAGAACCTGAGGGTTCTGAAGTAGAACCAAATAATGGAAATGGTGACACATTGCTGAAGGTCACCCAGCTCCAACAAACCCCAGAGATGACCTTTATAAAGAACTATTCCTTTTAACAGCTCTCTGCCCATGGGAAACAACACATCAATTTCACTGGGGAATTTGGGAATGACATATAGCATGCACATGCTTCAATCGGCTTCAGCTGTTATCTTTCAAACAAAAATAAATATCTGAGAGGAATGTGGCATGCAACTTCCACAGTCGTGGCATGTGGTCATGAGCAGGATGCCAACAGTGAAAAGCCTAAACCAGATACCATTTCTCAACAGTCATCATATGCTCTTTTTAACTAATTTTTAAATTTGTTTTTTCAAAAGTCCCAAAACAAAATTTAAAATTTTTGGGTCATTACAGTGGCAGAAAAGCACACACAGCTTTCTGAATTGCCATAAGCAAAAAGTAAGATTGACATCAAGAAAAAAAAAATAATGATGTAAGAATTTGACGGTACCTTTTAATGAAGGAGCCCAAACAGGATCCCAAAATATTTTACAGACACAAATAAATGAAGCTACATACTGTCACATTGAGTTAGATATTACTGTATGCATTACAAAATAAAATAAATGAAATTATTTCTTAATATTTGTTAAGGTGTTAACATATTGTGCTAAGATCACAGAGGCCTATAAAAAAGCTAAGTACTAATCAACAGTTGTGGTTTTTGATTATTGCCCAATACTATAAATTTTACTTGTGTAGACTCAACATACAATAAAAAGGAAAGATATTTGTGCTTGAGGGCATGGGAGACAGATGATGGTGAGCTGCAAATCTACTACATAAGTATAAACACTGGCTGAGAGGCAAAAGTAGTGAGAAGCCTTGAGAATATGTTATCTCAAGTTTTGCGTGAGACTGTCACATTTTTATGTGTTTCTATCACAAAAGATACAGATGAAACTCCAAAGCAATTTTTAAAAAAGGCAGCAGTGTGTTTTTTAATGTTGGTTGGATCAAAGAGCAGTGAAACCAACACAGGAATGTACAAAGGGTGAGAAAAAATTACTCTGAGACAGTGGGAGGGAGTTAATAAAAAACAAAGCTACTGTTCTCATCACAAAAGCATCACAAATGCTCAAAAGGCCAGAGCAATAACATCCTCCATGGACAAGCTGGAACTCAGTTCACGTGAAACCACAAGTTTGGATATAAAGCAGAACTGCCTTTGGGTGGTGGTGAAGCAGTAGACAGAGTAGCACTGGCTCCCAGGACAACCTGGATGTGTCCCCTGAAAAATACTGTGCTGCAGAGGAAAGACAGGTTGAAGGGAGGTTTCTCTTCAACCGCAGGTGGGCAAGAAAATTTTTTCCTGGCCTCTAACCAGGAGCAAGTTTTCCACACTACACCCCAGTATGTATTAATCTGAACAAGTGACTATGCTGGAACTGCTGGAGACTCCTACTAAAATCACTATGCCATACCCCAAAAAGGGCAGGGGAGCCTCTTTGCTGCTGTTGGTTCTGGCTTCCACATAAAGTTCACATTCAGCTTTACTGAGAACACTGCTGCAGTAAGATGTATTACATCAGTAGTAACCATGCAATAAATACCACCAACACGTGAGATCAGGATGAATCATTACAATGGATTTGAGAAAGCATTTGGTTTTATTCCAGGTTTTCCCTGTGCCAGGACAAGATATTAGCACGTTGTTTCATTGTTTCTATGTTTAATGCTTGGTAAGAGAGATTTGATTACAGAACAAATCTTCAAACCAAAAGAATAAGCTGAATAATGTGGACAACATGCTTGCCAGGTTCCCAATAGGCAGAGTTCTAATTATATTTTCATTTCATAGAAAGTGGTCCTGACAATGTGTCCAAAACAAAGTCCAGACACGTAGGTTCATTTGTCCTGGCTCTGGATGGACAATGTCCAATTTTCTGCCAGTCAGTTGACTTCTCTTTTTCTTTTTATCACTCATACGAAGTGCAAATTATCACCATAAGATCCATGAGTGTAAAGACAGATTAATGGATTTGGTATTTTATAATTTGTCAATAAAACATCAGAAATAGGATACCAAACAAAATGAAAATGAACATACCTTCCTGTGAATATGGGCACTGAGTAGTCTAAGGCTTCGTTCTCTTTGTTCTCTGATATCAAACTCTGTTTTGCCCTCTTTGCTTTGGGACTCATCTTATAGGATTGATCTTCTATCATTGAGTTGGAATTTTTCAGTCTGAAATAAAAATTATATTGTTAAAATCAGGAAAAGAGCTGCTAAGAAGCACTCAAAAATACAATTGAGTGTACTGTTTTGTAATCAAGCATTTATAATTTGAATAGCCATAGTTTCAGAGTTATTAAACACATAAGTGTACTTTTGACAATCCCACCATTACAAACACACCACTTATGCCCCTTGATATTAAATCTGAATAGATGGAGTAAGCAATACACCTAGTAGCAATGTACTTTTAATAGCTTTAGGGTTGGGACTTGGGAAGATTGCTCAAGTCTCTCTACAGAAATTGTAGGGCACTGCACTGCTCAGAAAGCAGTGTTGCCATTCCCACTGCTCTCCCACACCACTCCAATGGGAAGAGAAGAGTTGAGTGAAGTAGCACCATTTAACATAGCACAGATAAATGGAGGATGACTGAAAAGGAGGAAGAGCTTCCCCCCCTGCCCCATCCTCACCAGCCTGGGAGGGATTCTGAAAAGCATGAAGCATATTTGGGGCAATCACTTTGGGTTAATTTTGAACATAGTTACAAATTGTGTAAACAAAGCTTGAAACACCAGGTCCTCCTTTGCCAAAGCACCACATATCTAACTGCCATATCTATGGAATATGCTAATTATTTGTCAGCCTTTAATAAATCCCCAAAGTGTCTATTCACCTGTCTTGCAACATCACCACAGAAAATCACATGTGGGTCCCCTTCTGGTCAGGGGGTTTTCTACACAGTCTGAGCTCCCTGCTTACATGTGCAGATACAGGAGCAGAATGATGGTTTCTCAGCAAGGCTCGTTAGCCCTGCCATGTGCCTCTGTCAGGGATAACCTGCTTCCCACACCCTGGATACCTTACACTGGTGTCTCCACACAGCATGCTGGACACATATATCAAAACCCATGCTAACACTGGGCCCCTGGGAATGTTTCACATGCATAATGTAATATGATATTATGTCCTTGGGCTAATGTTTTCCTTAGGCTGTATCCCTGCAAAAGTATCACCACCAACACAAGAAGAGTGCTTAGTTTCCAAAATACGTGCTAGTAATCTATCCACTGAGACTGTGTGTGCGATGACAAGGATCACTTTCATTCTCCCATCTTTCCTTCCTTCATTTCTTTGTGTCCATCCCTTTGCCCAGACTGAGTTCTCTCCCTACCCAGCTCCTGTCAAATCAGTCTCCCATTCTCTTGCTCTCTGTCTTAATGTTAATTCCTCTGTGCTGCCCAGGTGACACCATCACCAAGCCTGCAGCACTTCTGCTGAGAGACACTCAGTACAGGGGGTAGAAGCAACCATGCACTTCTCCTTCCTTCCTCCTCTCCCTGTAACCTGGTTTCCACACAAAAGGAGGCACAGCTCATGAGGGACTGTGGCACACACCACAGGACTGGGGCCAAGGGTTTTCCATGTCAGGCACCACTGGCTCTGCTCAGGCACAGACCACACCTACAGGAGAGAGATGCTATGGGCTCTGAGTTTTGACACCAGGCACTGCCCAGGACAGCCAGAGATGGAGAACAAGAGAGCAGATCCGGCTTTAGGGACAGAAATCCAAGCAGAAAACACTCGGGAACAGTCCAGGCAGAGTAAAATAAAAAACTAAGAGAGAGACATATTGAAAGGGGGTGTGCAATGGCCTTACTCCTGGGCTGGACAATGATGTGGTGCAATCACTACAGCAAACCACAAATGCACTGGGAGAACTCATCAAATAAGGGATAAGAAACATCAAAGGCAAACTATTTTCATTACTTTTCTTAATTGAACTAGAGTCTGCAAGGAGCTACAGATCTTTACTTAGCAGGTGACTTTTATTCCTGTCCTATTTAAAAATGGGTCAAACCTGGAATTTTGACTCTGACAGCCATTAGATTTCCTCAGAGCTTTAGGCTGAAGCTGTTAGGAGGCCACTTCATTCCTAGCTGTTTCTAGATCATGAAGGATCACACTACCAATTGAACTTCAATTAAAATATCTAGAAGTTTTTATTTTCATAAATGTAGTTGAAATGTGGTGAAAATTTCAGCTCAGGCATTTACAGCACTGTTAAATCCAGACAAACACATTATTCCTAAAGGAGAGTTTGGCCTTGCAGTCAGTTTATTTTTCATTTAAGGTCCAAATTACACATTCATTCAGGGAATTAATGGGAAGCATATATAGCAGTTCCCATCACTCCCTGCTAGGCATTTTGTTGATATCTTTCCTGCGTAGCAGTGGGGGTTTCCTATCTTTCATTTATATATCTCTAAAACTATTTGAAAAAGCAAGAATAAATTGCTACAGGTTTTGTTTATTTGGAGGCTATTTTTCACTCAAATCTTCCAAGTGTTTGAAGTTGAATATCTCACTTTCATGACCATACCAGAGCACCCAGCTGATGTTTTCAGAGGGATACCTAGAGTCACTCCAAAATGTTCTTTAGAATCACACTGCATAAACCAAGAGATTAGAAGAATAAATTTGAAGCAGCAGAAAATGTTTCTCCTTTCTAAATTCTGGCAGAGCTAGATGGAGGCTAGGAGAAACATATTCAAATGGAGCTCTTTGCTTGAGAGAATAGGTTAAACACTATTCTGTTATGAGGCTTATTCCTTGTTTTCCTGTGTTCTTAGTACTTCTTCCTGCATAACACAAAACCAAAATCCTGCCTAAAACCATTATTTAGGTGGCCCAAAGGAGGACTCTGTTTCTTGAACTAGATTCTAAAATCTTGCCCTTTATTTTAAAACGTTCCAACCTTTTACCTGATATGTGGAACAGAATCTCCCGAGAGGAGCAAGAGCAGGGTATCAGTGCTCTCTAGTTTCATAGGGAGGAACAGTACCATGACCTTTTAACATCTTTCAGCCTCATCTGATATGCCCAGCTAGCATATGTATATTTTTTCCCCAGGTCAGATATTATCTGTACAGGTTTATCAAGGTTGGTGACCTAAGCCTACTGTCCTTACTTCAGGGTGGATTCCAGCATGTTAAAATGTCAATAATTTTCCTGGTTTTTCATTAGAGTTGTAAAAAACACAGGCATTGTTCTGTAGAGATGTAAGAAACAGACGCTATTAACTTTTCCCTCTAGCCTAAAGAGGAGCTAAAGAAAACATTGTGCAGGGCATCTGCAAGTCCCAAACATATTTTTTGCTCTGTCTTGATGTCTTATCCTCAGACAGAGAATATGTTGGCACTGCCTTTGTTTCTGTGCCTGAAGGGACAGAAACACACTGCCCAAAGAAAGTCTGCACCCAGTGGATGTAGAAATGCATTCTGGAAGAAGACCACAACACCCTATTCTTTAGTCATGTCATTCATGCATGAAAAGGCACATATAAGCTCTTTCACACCTCTAAAAAACCATGTATCTTGTCCTAAGCAGAAAGTGGTATACACAATGGTTGCACCAGCTGTACCTGCTGGAAAAGCTCCATTAGCTACAAAGCCTTGTCCAGTCTCTCTTTTTAGCAGCTGTTTTTTTCCTAATATGCAGTATTTTAAGTTACTGTAAATAGGAGATAGAGGATTGGCAAACCCAGTTATAGGAAAGGAAAAAGAAATTATTTTCAGCAAAGAACTCTTTAAATTCAGCCTCTAAAAATGAGAAATATGCTCTGGTGACTTTTAAGTTGCTGACAGGTTTGTCACAAGCCCAGGCAATATTGCTGGCAATATTCCCTGACACAGCTTCCACAACAATTTCATTTGAAGGGGAATTGTTTCCACATAGCAGGTCTCATTAAAACAATTTCCATGCTTGAGTATGACATCTGGAATCCAGCTTCTTAACCCTCACCTATAATAAACCAAAGGATGAGCAATGCCAGGATCATGGTCTTCTAATGTTTCTGGAAGTGTACTATTTACTCAGCCTTTCCAGATCCTGGTTACAGTGTTGTTCAGGAGAGCATTAGCTCGCACTGGCAGCCCAATTAAAGGCAAGTTGGAAAGGCATTTTTCCTCTCTTTGCTTGGTACACCTGAATTACACCATGTCCTCTTTGCTGTTTTGCCTGACCTGCAAAATACATGCAAATGCCTGAGCCACACCAGGAACTTGTGTTTTCCCTCTAAGCAGGTGTCTGGCCCTTGTGGTGGCAGATAATCTGTCTGTGACACAATGGGATTATTGATGCTGCTAGACAGGAGACAATGCTGCCAGACACATGGAAAAGCAGTGAAAGTTTGAGCAAAGGCAAATCACTGAGCTTCCACAAAAAAGAGTTAAACGAGTTTAATCCAGCAGCCCTGTTTGACAGCCCTGTAGTTCTATAAGCAGCTTTGGCAGATCTGACTCAAATCTTCCCAGGAGCACACAGAGGATGGAGCACTGCTGTGGAAGAAGGAGCCAGGTTTCCCACAGGAGCCAACCTGCCCATGCTGGCAGCCCCCAAGGGCTGGATGGGGAAGAGGATGGGTGGCCACAACGTCAGCTTGTGGGAGACATACACCCCTCACCTGAACAGAGCCTCAAGGGAAGCAGTTCTGTCACTTTTCCTGCCTCTGCTGAAGTGCTTGGCTGGAGACAGCCCCACGAGCTGGTGGGGAGGGCTGGGTGTGAAGAGGCAAGCTCTCCATGGTGAGATGCCCTTTCTTCTGGGAGCCCAGAGGTTTGCTCCTTTGGCCAACTGCAACCAGCAGAGCTGCAAGCTTCCATACTTGCTCTTGATTTTCCCAGTTTTCATTTTGCTCCCTGTACACCCTAAAGCTGTTGTGGTGTGAAGAGGACTTGAAATGTGGGGGACAGGCCACTTGCACAGGGAAAATTTTTCATCATCCTGAAAAATCAAGCTGTGGCTCCTTCAAACTGCCTGTGTTCACCCCCTGGGAATGTTTTCCACTCAAGTGAGGCTTCAATGTCACAGAACTGGGTCCAGGTCAAGGTCTTGCAGGTTACCTAGTTCCTAGTCCTTCTCCACTGTTTTCCCCATGATAAATTCCTCACATAGCACTAACTGCATGTCAACACCAATGCTTCATGAAATCTTTCCTGTACTGTGACTACAAAAAAGGATGAGACCTAAATTTTGCAATAACTATAAGTTTACCAAAAGCTACTTCAGATTAAAAAAAATAAGTAACCTCAATAAAAACTTAATATTTGAGTTTTCCTGTTGGGATTAATGGTGTTTATCTGCAAAACTATATCCATTACGCATAAATCTATATTTGATGCTAACATTCACTGATATGCAATCAACAATTCTTGGCTGAAAAATTTTGTCTGCATTTGGATTTGTGTGTCCATTCTGGTTTCAAGCAAACACTCTACTGTTCAGGTCATTTAGATACAGCATTTCAATTCAACGTTTTCTACTTCTAGAGAATTGAAAGAATTTGAAGTCTCTTTTTTTTTTTTTTCCTACACCATTCTTTTCATATGGATGAAAACAGAAAGTCTTTGATTTTCCTAATTTATTTAACACTTGTTGTCTCCACATTACCCCTTGAAGTATTTTGGCATATTGGGAAAGACAGTACCAATTTGGCAAGAATTTCTTCAAATTTGAACTACATTTAATTGTAGAACTGCAGTATTTTTTCCACTTTGCCTCTTGCAAATTGCAGAAATAGGGGCTGCAAAAAAGAAATATCAACATAGAGGCTATATTAACCATAAACCCAAGTTAAATACTGGGATTTTCATTCAGAAACATTGTCTCCTGTGTTAATTAAGTTTTGTGTAAGACAGCTTGGAATCTCATGTATCTAATCTCCAGAGTCCTTATTTTAGGCAGCAGCAATGAATTTTCTCCAATACAATAACAGGATCACAGAAATAAAGAAGTTGCAGCTGAGACATTCTTATCTGTGAACTATCTATTGGCAAGTCTTGTAATACAGAGTATTATATAGGCAAATATGCTACTTTAAACCAAAAACTTTTATCTCAAGCAAAACCTCAGCAAATGTTTTAAATTCTCTCTCAACTAAGCAATTTCATTTCCTTCAATATTATACTGTTGACATTAGAGTTATTCTTAATGACAACACAGAGGTTTCAGAAGAAACTTGTGTGACAGCTGAAGTGTTTGCAAGCAGGACTCAGAAACAGGTTTTTTTAACAATCATTTTTTATAACTTGAAGTTCTTTTTTTATGGGAACCTTTTCTTCAAGAAGAAGGAAGCTTTGGGTTAGCGTCAGCAACAGAGTGCAGGCACAGCTGCATTGCTGCAGAAATTTGGGACATCTTCCCTTACCCAGCACCCTTTGGAAGCATAACCCTCAGTCCCAGCACCTCCAGTTTTCTTCCCTTCACCAGCAGACTATAAGTGAGATTCTCACTGCTTTCTCAGTGGTAAATTATCTGAACAAGTAAAAGTGTTTCAACAGCAAGCCTGGATATGACCCACTCTAAGACAGTCAGCTGCAGAATCATAAAATCATTACAACCTCTAAGATCATCAGGTTCAACCAGTAACCCAGCATGGCCAAGCACACCCTTAAACCATGTCCTTAAAGTGTGTGTATCCACGCATTTTTTGAACACTTCCAAGAATGATGATTCCACCATTTGCCTGGTCAGCCTATTCCAATACCTGACTACCCTTTCAGTGAAGACATATTTCCTAATATCCAATCTAAACCTCCTCTAGTGCAACTTGCAGCCATTTCCTCTCATCCTGTCTCGTTACCTGGCAGATGAGACCAAGCCCTGCGTGGTTACCTTCTCAGACAGCTGTAGGGAGTGATAAGGCCTCCCCTGAGTGTCCCTTTCTCCCAGCAAAATAACTGTATTTCCCTCAGCTGCTCCTCATAAGACTTCTGCTCCAGAACCTTCATCAGCTTTGTTGCCCCTCTTTGGACAGGTCCCAGCAGCTCAATGTCTTTCTTGCAGTAAGGAGTTAAGTTCAGTCATTCACCTTGACTGTAACAGCCTGAGGATCAAATTCCTGAACAAACTCTGGCAAATGGAGATTGGACCCTGAGTTTCCTGAAAGCCAAGATTTCAGTGAAGGCTGAAATCACAAGGTGCTGTTTACTGTGGTACATGTAGTCCTTCTTTCATTGGTTTTGGCCAAGATTTCACCATCATCCACAACCCTGGGAGCATATTCAGTTTTCAAAATTTAAATTTTCTGCTGGACAAGTTTTGATCAGCTCTGCTAATGATACTCTTAATTTTATATTAATATAACAGCAAGCAGATGTTTTGAGCTGTAATTTGTTGATTGTTTCCTCTATTGCTCTATTGCTAACAGCTGCTCTAATCTTACTTTAATACTTCTCTAATTTCTGTAAATCTCTGAGATATATGCATACAAATAATATGAGGCTATTATAGCAAAAATATTATGCTAATGTAATTGCTTGAGCAATATTTATTACCTTAAATTTTAAAAAAAGCTATACAAGCTGAGCATAACTACTCTTCTCTTGTAAGATGGGACACTTCAGGTTTGGAAACAGTATGCCTCAACCAATATACTGTGTGAAAATTACAGTTTCTTGAATCACTCAGCACAAAAGGAAAACTATTAGGCCAAAGAAGAATTAATCATACATGGTCACATCAACTCAAACTTGCATGAAGAGCTTTGAGTTCTTGTACTACTCCAACCTCCAGCCAGATAAGAGACAGCCTCAATCCAAAGCTATCACAACTCTTCACATTAAGTTCAGCTGTATTAATGTGGCTAAACAACTTGGAAGGAGAAGTAGCTCCTAAGCAATTTAGAGTCAGCACTCAGCTACATCAGCATTGCCAGTGCTATTCTTATGACAGTCCAAGCATCACACATAGATTAGTTCAACAAGCTAAGCTGACCACGGTCCTTCCCATTGCCTAAGCCAAGGGGAAACACTGGATCAGGAAAATACATTAATATCAAGTTATAGAGAAACTTTATGTGGAGGAGGAGGAGAGTTTTGCCATTGTTTTCAATGGGAAGCGGTTGGACATTTTTCTACCAGGATGCTGTTTCGAAGGCAGATTATCTTACCCAAAGCTGTAGGCTTCAGATCCCAGCCTGTAGGCTGCAGCCAGCTTGTTGATGGACTCAGATGCATGGCTGTAGGCAGCTGAGCTGGTGCTGAGGGACTCCGAGTCAAGGCTGTAGGCAGCAGACCTCTTGCTTTGCGCGGCAGAGCTGTCGTAGGCTGTGGACCCGTGGCTGTAGGCTGCCGACTCGAGGTCGTAGGCCAAAGAGCCATGGCTGTAGGCTGCTGAGGAGTCAAGGCTGAAGCCAGCTGCAGATGAGTGGCGATAGGCCGCGGAGCCCCTGGCGTAAGCTGCGGATCCTTGAGCATACACAGCAGATTTGCTCTTTGTCTCCTTTTGGTACTGGCTCACAGTGGACGACAGCGCTTTGTGGCGGTACGCACGGTCATAGTGCTCGTGGTGTCTTTGGTAGAACGGTAAAGACATCATGGGTGCCTTCGGATTTTGGGTTCCACTGCACTTTTCTGAGTGTAAATAAACAGGATAATGTCTGAAAAAGAACAGGTCAAACATAAGGACTACCGTCAAGGAAACTCCTGAGTTATCATACAAATAATACCCAACTTCACACAAATTAACGCTGAACTTGAAAAATCAACTGCAAGGATTTTAGACTTATATTTTTATGATGTGATTTAGACTTTCAGACAGGTTCATATTCAGGTTTCAAGATGCTCACATGTCACCCAGAAACCTTTGCAGTCTTGCGTCTGTTCATTTGTAGTTGGTTCCCTGCTACTGCAAACTGCTCAAGTTTTATGTGCTCACTTATTACTGCAAACTAATGAAACTCTGTGTGCCTGGCTTCTTCAGAGACAGTATAAATAATTTTGTTCAATTACAATAGAGATAATAAAGTAATAAATTACTTTTAAAGGCATGAGCAAATGCCTTTATAAAAACAAAGCTATAAAAGCTGAAACAAAAATATATGAACATTTCATTTATTTTTGTAATCCAATTTTCAGATTGAATTTAATCTTCCATTTATTATTACAACAGTGAATAAAAACACTAAGATTGAGAAAGAAGTCAGTTTTTTCTCTAAATGTGCACTGCAGTGATTGTTTTGTACGTGATACCAGGGTTCAATTTAAAAGGGCTTATTGTGCATTATACTTTTACAGTTGAATCAGGGATCCAGTCTGCATGCAATGGGTAAAATAATATCATGCTCCACAGTGCAAATCCTTTTCTTTTAACCTAAAACATCATGTTCAAGATTGCCAAGACCCTTCCTCCAGATAATAGGTCCATTTAACTTTAGTTTGCATATCATCAGTTGATTATCTTGTAGTCACTTGTAGTGCAAATTTTGATCAGGTGACAAGCAGTTCCCCTCTCAAAATGGGATGAAAGTTGAGTGCAGAAAGTATTTCCCTTGTTTGTTTGTTTGTTTTAAAACCAGCAGTTCCGTCATTATTTTGCTTTTTAATTTTGCTGTCGTTAGAACTGACTTTTTCTACTTTAACATGCAAGCTCGCCTCAAATAATCCATATGATAACCTTTCTTTCTCTTTCTTTTAGGCTCACATGGCTACTAGAATTGTCTCTGAAAAGGTCCCTGATTAGTAAGGCGACCTTTTGTAGCTCATAGAAATGAGCTACAATGAAGAAATGTTAGCAAGGATTTAAATAGGATCCAAAAACAAGAGTGAGAGGCGTTTGTTATTCTTTTGGGGTTTTTTTTAGTATCGATCACAAGAGTAGGAAAATTGTTCTTCTTCATGATTTCTTCATATTAATGAAAAACTATTTAATGTTTGGACTAACAGAACTGGAAGACAATCATGACTTCATGAAAGTCTAGATATCCAATTTGGGTTGTCCTGCGCAGGGTCAGGAGTTTGTCTTTGATGATCCTTGTGGGTCCCTTCCAACTCAGAATATTCTGTGATTTTGTGATTTTTTCCCCTGGTCTTTATGCCCCCTAGACTTTAGTCCTTGGTTTTTTCTTTAGTATTTGGTTCTGACAGCAAGTCAACAAATTTCAAACTATTCTCTTTGACAACTGCAGAGGTATTTGCCCTAACCAAGGCAACTTATGAAAAAGAAACCCAGAAACAACCAGAAACCAAACCCAAACCCAACAAAAACCAGAAACAAAGAGGAAAATTTTCTTCTATTTCAGGGATCTCACAAGGGAAATGCTCCTTGTATGATAACTTGATTATTTAGTTGCAGGAAGTCAACAAGGAAGAAATTTATTCAGAAACTTTTTATGTAAAAGAAGTTGCTGATATCCTGACCACAGCATAACTGTGACTGCAAGAAGACCAGATTATACATTTATTTATTTTTACCTGAGGAAGAAGGATAAATGGGAAAGAGTGTTAGGCCATTGTTCTCTTTGTCAAAAATTTATGTTCCTTTTTAACCCTCTTATTCCTAATGCTGGCTATTTTTTCATGTCAGTCTAAAATAATGCAATTATTGCAGTCTAAAATAATGCAATTATTAGAAAAAAGAATGTCTAGCATTATTTTTTCTAATACCTGTCAGTATTTTGTGTTGTTACTTATTTAATTTTGTTAGCCACCAGTAGTGTGTAGTTCCTCTGTATTTCCCTAGTTTCAGAAGACTTTTTTCTTAATTTTCCTCATTGTCTCCCTCTTCTACCTCTGCAGAGCTGGGTTTGGACTTGCAAATCATTGTGATCATTGCCTAGGAAGGTTAAGGCATACAGAAGAATATTGTCTTGCATACTGAAAGGGAAGGAACATGAGAACATCCTGTTTTCCTTCTGCAGAGTACTATGGTTTGTCTTCACCAGCTTTATTTGAAGTGTTGGCTGGCTTCACCATTCATACAAGAGCCACAATGCCAGCAGGCATTCAGCTCAGGCATTCTCACAGCCTTCCAGGCTTCAAAGTATGGAAGGCGATCCACAAGTATGAAGCACACTGCATGTGTTGCCCATTAAGAAGTTAAACGAAGCATTTCATTTACAGTTTATCAAACCAGAAGAACAAATTAAAATGTACAAAGGAAACATTTTTCTTCCAAACATGACAGGTCTGGATCTTGCTGTTCTCAGGAGTAAAAGTCTGTGATAGGAGTAAGGACTGTGATAGCAAGGCAGGCACTGAGCACTAAGTCAGCTCTCCTGGTTCAAATCAAAGACCAGCACTGACTCACATCATGTAAAGGGAAACTCCTTTTTAGGTATTTTATCACACCATGAGTTATGTTTTATATTTCCTCTGAAACATCACGGATTGCTCACAGGCCAGGATAAGCTGGTTACATTAGTCTAATCAGATACAGTAGGGCAGTGCTATGGGAGATGACAAGTAACTCAGAAACTTCCAAGGACTTTGCTCCTATCTGGAGCACTGCCTGATTATCAGATTGATTCCCGTCTCTTAAGTTTTATCTATGCTGCCTGCACCCACTTAGTCTGTGTGCACCAACCAGCCCCCTTCAGTGTGAGGGCAACACTCCTCAAGATCAGTGTAGCACTTCAGAGCTTGGCCTAAAAATATTAGTGGCCATAGTTAGATGAATTCACAGTTTTTGGAGCTATATTTTAGCAGCTGTTGAACTGAGTATTTAAAATTACTACTGAGCAGACAGACAGTTGTGTACTTGTCCATAGTTCATAGCTACACGTTAAAGGAGATGATTCTGCTGCCATTACCTCTTGTGCTGTGTATCAGTCTGTGTAGTTCTTTAAATATCTGCTCCATCAATCAATGAAAATAGTGAAATAGATTTTAAAAAAGAAACTGTTGTAAGCAGAGAAAAGATAACATCCTATGCAACAAGAAAATATTTATGTTATTTAAGCATTCTCTAAGCCCACAGGAGAGTACATGACAAACTCCTCCTATATCTCAGTAACCCAGGCTTCATTTGAGAGTACTGTGACAATATGCAAAGATAGCTGAGTGAAAATAAAAGAGCCCCTGCACTACTTTCTTTTGTTTCACAGCTGAACATTCAGATGTCTCCAATTCACATCCACAAATCCCTCAACTGCTGAGCTATGAAGAATAAAGGGAGCTACAATCGGCTTGGCATTACAGATTCAGATTAAAAATAATTGAACACATAAAACCTTCCGGCATTAAAAAAACCACTTACCAGGATCCAAATGAATGGCAGCAAATGGAAGAGCTCCCAAGTGGATGAATAGCACAAAAACACAGCAACAATGAAGCCAGCAAAGAAAGAGGTAGTTAGGACGAGGGGTAAGGACTGGACTTCAAGGTCCAGAACAAAAATAATGCCTGCAGTCAGTGGAATGTCAGAGCCCCAGTCCAGACCTTTTATGGCCAGGGGGATGCTATAAATATAGCATGGAAGAGGGAGAGAGACAGAGACAGATACCGATACCCTGTACTATCTCTGTGCAAAGACATGATGACGGCAGCCTCAAACTAAAGGAGATACGGAGTTCTCCCTTTAAAATATCCTCACTAAAATCTACATAAAATCAGCATTCCAATTAAAAATTATTTCTAGGATTTTTTTCCCCTAGTTAAATCAGATTTAGGAAGAGAGAAAAAAAAATTGCATCATGAACCAGAAACTAGGAAAGACCAATCCCTATGTTGACCTTTGCTATGGTACAAGAATTTGAACATTTTATTGATTCCTTTTTTTAATGACAAGCCACAGCACATGTAAAATAAATATTTCAGCTTAATGACAGACAATCTATCAAGGCTCTCTAAAGCCATATGGGTTACATATCAACAGAAGTGTATTTTCTTTGTTCTGTTGACACAGTTACTTTTTTATCTTCTTCTTTAAGATAAAATGCTAAATTAAGAACATGACCTCATGAGGCATTTAAGTAGATATAAACAATGCAGCTGTAAAATCCAACTTTTTGTTTCTAAATTCAACAGTATTACCTCTAGGAATAATTAAATGGGCTTGTCTTCTTTCATTTTGGTCCCAGCATTCTGGCATAAAAATGAGTAATCAGTGTGGCTGAATATTGCATCAGAACAAGCTCTGTTGTAATCTAGATCTCATCTGAGATCTAATAGGTGGAATGCAGTATGATCTCATTGTAAATACAATGTACCTCTGCACTGTAAATTTAGCTTTCAATAAAAGCGATTAGTGCATTTTATTTTGTTAATTTGCATCGACAGAAATATTAACCTTCACAGTTCTGCTATAGCTTCTTTTCACACTTGACATGCAACACAACCAAGAACTTTCCAGATTCTCCTGCTCTGCTAGCACTATACCCCTTATGGGTGTAACTACCAGAAAAAGGTCTGGACAAGGCTAGAGGATCCCAGGCTTTTCTCTGCAATAGTTCATCAACATCTTCACCTCACCACCTTGATTCTACACTAAATCCCTTCATTGTCCCCACTAGTCACTTGTTCCCTGGGGAGCCACTGCCTCCTTTCTGGTGCTCCACCATGCAGTAAGTTCAGAAGCCTCCTCACCTCCCACACCAGGAGCTGCTCAGGCGCACCACACGTTTGGGCTTTTGGTTTTTGCTCATGAGGACAGAAACTATGGCCAACAAAAAGTTGTGCAGTCATAGAAACTGTATTGTGGCTCAGGAAACTGGCCAAATCTGGAACAGGCAGAATGAAAAACAGGCACCTTAATACAAGCTTTTCTTCCCCCAGAATGCAGTCCACTGTTCTATAGGTTCTGGGCTATAATGTATATTTTTAGTTATAGTAGATGGAGTCTCAGTGGACTGACTCCTGGATTGCATTACAAACTCCTGATCCACTCCTTCGCCATGGGTCATTTGCACTGACGTCGTAAAAGTCTTAATGACAGGCAAATTGCTTTTTAAGAAGACAGGAAGATGTAGAGAAATGAAAACAATTAAACATCACATTTCTCTGCTTTAATTGCAAGACAATCTGTGTAGCTCACACATGGGGGATAAAAATCTGAACAACATTTTCAGTGTTTTTGTAAAGCATAATGGCACCATGAAGTTCAATACAGTTTTCAATATCTGTACTGCCTCCGTTCATTCTGTAAATAGAATGGCAAATACAAAGTGTAACAGCAAAATATTATTTTGCCCCTTAAATTTACACAATTTCAGGTCTAGCTTTATTATGACATAATATCCACAGCTAATTTCAAATCACTGAACTCCTATTTGAATATCAAAGTACATATTTTAAATCACTTGGAGCTGGACAAGCCTCAGAATCCCTGCAACACTCTGTATCCACATGTATTTAGTCACATTGGGCTTGGGAGAGACACCCTTAGGGAATATTAGTTATGTCTTCTCCTAATTAGAGCTACATAGTGTTGAAGATCAGTTTGTTTTTCTGGATGGGAAAGCTAGAATATTAATTTAGAACCTGACATGACAGAACAAAAAGCTTTCCAGACTGTCCACTGAAGATTTGAGAGCTACAGCATCCTGTAGCTGGGGCCATAAGTCAAATGACACAGCATCATGGTACATCTCTTTCATTTGAGTATAATCTCAAATAAATCTACCAAAACAATTTTTGGAGAACAGAGGCTTTGAGCATGTGTGTTGTCTTCTGGAGTTTGCTTTCAAGCTTGGGTCCAGTTTTCTGAATTGATTTTTATCAAGAAAAAAGAACACTTCAGGAATATGTGCTATTGTCCATTATACTCCAACTAGCCATCTTCATAACCCACTCCAGGGGAGGGAGGTCTGTGTTCCCTGCCTTCACCCATAAGAAGGTATTAATATATAAAAGGTTTCTGTTGATTCTCTGCATCACCCAGATCATATATTTAACAAGGAGTCAACCTTTTAACAGAAGGGTCTGGGTGCAGCCTACAACAGCTTTAGTGTCTGGCCTCACATCTGAAGAACCAAAGACCACTGTCTCCTTGATACAGACAGAAATTTTTCCAAAAGCCTCAAGCTATTGACTGTTGGTGCCTAGATCAATTTTTCATCATACAGAAATATTTGCCTTACCATTATTATCAACATTTATTCTACAGTGTCTCTCTGGAACTGGAAATGTCGCATAAAAATGTTGCTGAGAGCATTTATTTTCCTTTGTAACATTATAAAGGTTTCTGTCCATAATAAAACCTTACCCCAAGAGCGTTTACCCCAAGGGTAAAACCTTACCCTGGAGCTATTCCAAAGGAAAATTCTTTTAATTTTTTTAAATAAGTGCTTTTGGCACTTAGGTTTTTTTTAATCCATAGTATCTCCTGTCATTTTAAATTCCATATCAAAACAGATGGTTGTCAAATGTCATCCCGCATTTTATCATTCTTTCCTAAACATCACAGATTTTTCTATATCTTTGTTCCAATAATGATGGATAGTTTCTAATATCATTGCTGTGTTTAGCTTTGTACCTTGGAAAGGCTGGCCAGAACACTTTGACACATGACTGCTGAAGGACCAGAGTAGTACCTGGTAACTGTTATCTGCAACTGCAGATAACTCAAACCCAGGAAACTTGACTGAGGTACAATATCTGAGCTGCAGCTTTTAGAAGCAGGTAATATGCTTCAACATATGAGTTAAATAGTTTAGGCAGGATATTGGCCAAACAGAGATGCCCAATGTCTGTGACTGGGGCAGTGGGATGAGCACTGGCTGTCAGGTCCTGATAGAGGCTGTGAGGAGCTCCAGTGGCCCCTGGGGAGCACTAAAAACAGTGACTCTGCAGTGATCGTCACTCCCTTTTCTGTTATCCACAGACCATGTAACTGAACTATGTCATTACAAAGAAAACAATCTGTAGATATCATCCTAGTGAAGTGCAAGCTACTATTGCAATAATACAATTGCCTCAGGTATTACAATAATCATTTCCACAATCACTCAGGCACAGCTAACACAAATGTACAGTGTTAAGTAGTACACAAGAACATCTTCCATTTTTTGTTCTCACATTAATTGATTTAATACTTTTAAATCAATCAAATGTTTCTTTTAAAAGAAAGGATAGTGGCTGTGTCTTAATAGAAGAAACAAAAAATGTTTGTAGCTCTTTAGCCATCACCCTTGGAAATTATGTCTAATATAAAAATTAGGCTCAAACAATTAGAACAAAGTTTTGAGGAAAATTTGCACCAGAAATTCCTACATTGCTTTATTCAACACCTCCTGCAGGACAGACCTTCATATTTCAAACGTCAATCATGAGTAAGAAAGTCTTCCAGAAATTTGGGGTGAATGCAAAAAGACCTGGTGAATACAAAGAGGTGAACATTAGACTGTTTAGTATTTAAAGAAAATAAAGAGGTACACTGAAGAACAGAAGGAACTGATATTAGGATCTCATGGGTGAGATCTCATGCAAGTCAGAGATAATTCTGGTGATTATTTCCCAGGTGTGATTTAACTTTAAATGAAGTAGCTCAAACATCAACAGTGTAGGCTGTAGCACCAAATGATTATGAGACAATTGCCAAACCCACCAGGACATTTCACAAATATTCAGAGAGTTGATCAAATTATTTTAATAGTTTTTTTCAGTAACTTAAAATACCTGCTATAGCTGGTGACTTCAGACTCCAGTGCAGTCATATTCCACAAGGCAGCAGTATGTTTAACTCTGAACTTGATTAATTCTGATTTTATCTAATGGGCCTATACTCGGTTTCTCCATCCATGCTGTAAGACAAGTTTTTTTCGTTTCTAAACAATTTTAAGTTTGGAGACTCAACAAAAGGGACTGGCATGAACTAAAATAAGATGCTTCAAAGACTGGAGGGCAAGATCAATTTTCTGTCTGATCATGGTCAGTATTGGATAGTTCAGGAAAACAAGCAAGAAATCAAAGTGGACAGGTTTTCAATATCCTTTCCGGGGGATGTTTCACCTTAACATTTGTAGCTTACCTAGTTCATGATCTTATGGCTTAAAAGACTTATAGGAGAAGTTGCAGTGGCTTAACAGAGCCCTTTATTAAAAAAAAAAATTAAAAAACAATTAAATAGCTGTTTACAGTAAAATTCTAGAATTCAGTATAATGCTAGTCCTACAGATGAGAGCTCAGCCTTTACTGACTTTCTGAAAATCAACTTGGATTTGATTATTTTATAAACTGTTGAATGTTTCTAGTTGCCCATCTGTCTTTTTTTCTTGCTATAGCTTGTTCCTGGCTTTCTAACAGAAACTGTCAATGTCTTGTTAGCACATCCCTGCCTCTTCCACTGAACATCCCCTCAGCTGGACACACCTGCAAAGTAGCAGCAGCCTTCTCCCCTCAGTGACTGGAA